GAAGATGATCGTTCATCCTGTGTGTATGTAACATGGAAAAAAGATCAAATTTAATTGGCCAGCATGTGTGACGTTCTTCCACGTTGATACAAAGAAACAAATATCTCTCAATATCGACTGAAAAGTTTTAAGGAAGAAGATTTAGTTTACAAAATTTCCAATAGCAGAAGCTGGTTTATAAGACGTTGTAATAACTGTTGTTGTTGTTGTTGCTGCTGCTGCTGTTGCTGAACGGGCAGAGCTGAAAACAATCAAATATAAAATCATGACATATGTGTCCCTCATGTGGAGTGTGCATTGCACAAACCATTTTTTTACACGGAACAGTTCAGCTAATTTACATCACCCTATGTCAATGAAAGCACACTGGTTAGATGGATTGGTATATTCCCAAATATTTGTACTGTCTATTATATCTTAGCAAATAGGTATTCAATTATTTATGGGGCGGTGCCGTAGCCTAATGGTAAATGTGTTCGCTCGTTCGATTCCCCTCCTGGGTACAATGTATGAAGTCCATTTCTGGTGTCCACCGCTGTGATGTTGCTGGAATATTGCTAAAAGCGGCGTACAACCATACTCACTCACTCACTTCAATGGCTTATACTGACGTCAGGTAATAAGAGCACAAGACAAAACTTACGGAAACAGGTCCTGTTGTCGAAGGATGGCAGGGATAGGTTGGGGTTGCACTGACAGCTGTAGGACCCGGCAGTGTCGACGCATGTCCCACTGGGGAGATAGGTGCGGAGATTGGGCTCATAACTGACCCCACAGAGGTAAGTGTTGGCTGAACACTCGTCAATATCTGAAACAAAGACATACACAGAAATAGTAATTTACTTTTCGGAACAGTAAAGACTGTCAAATACTTGACATATTCGTTTACCCTTCTTGTGCTACGAAGTAGACGAAATTTCATGTTTGAAGAAGTCTTATGCATTTATGTTTTATGTGCATCAAAGGCATTGGTCATAACTCCAAGGGAGCAGAAAAAATGGATTTGTTGAATGAATGGTGAAAGTAGTTCCGGTAGGTAAATAAATGGCAGTATTTCAAAAACAGCCCATCAGCTGTCAGTGAAAACTGTATCCTTCCTAGGAAAGTTGCGGAAAATATACCATTAGAACCTGCATCTCCTTTTCTTTGTAGCTAATAATTAACCACAATCACGACATTCAAACACCTGTTATCATTACAAAATAAATGGGCTTGTGTTGTTTTTTGGTTGTTACTCAAATGGCGAAGTAATGTGTGAAATATAACTTACTGGAGCACACATTCGGGTCGGTTAGAGTCGTCTGGAAACCTGTAGTACAGTTGCACGTAGGGACTATTGTAACTGGTGGCAGGACACAGACGCCATTAAGACAGCCAGCAGTGTCGCACAGAGCTGTCAACCAAACGAAGTACAATCTTAACTCACTATACATTTCTTCTTGAAAAATCTTTCAAAGCATTTTGCCTGAGATCACTTCCTAACAAGTTAATGCATTTGTAACAATTTGTAAATGAACATTAGATAGAAAAGAGAAAAATACGTTATGTTTTGCATTCAACAAATGTATTTGATACAGTTTGCAGGTTCCAAAAACAGTTGACCATATCATATATGAATGTATGATTCACAATGTACAATGTACACTGCACCTAATTCACATGTAAACTTTTATTGATAATTATGTATATATAGGACTTGATCGCAGATGTCTGACGATGGAAATGTGTCTAACGAACTAAAATTAGTGGTCCCCGTGATTTCCTTGAAATCGTAGTTTACTGTGATATTCCTAACATTAACATTGAGTTCTCGATAATACAGCCTCTAAAATAGACTAAGACACAGTAGAGAAAACCTATCACACGTGAGTGTAAATGACAACCACTATGTTATAATGATACACTGTTGCACTTACTTTGAGCAGATGTTGACGGCATGTATACCGCCAAAATAACAGCAAGGGTGGACAACGATGAGTACATGGTGTAAAACAGCGAGTGTCAGTGGACAGTGCATCTGTGCTAGAAAGACGTGGGCTTATATAGCTGCCCTGTCTCACCCCAAACAAAAGAATACGATTGGTTTTATTTCTCCTCGTCATGGGACATAAGATCTGTCCATAACATGACAGAACAACGGCAGTATATAGACAGTTATGTGTGAACATCTATCATGTGTAAAAAAAAAATCTTACACCAGCAGTAGGTTTTTCTTCAAAGATATTACATAAACGTCCAGTGAGCTAGATGACCTCCCAACCAAAGTGACTTTATGACTGACCTCACATTCACACTTTACCAGGAGCGTGATGCGATTGACTACAATAGTGTAAATATATCGAAACTTGTTGGTTCTGTTGAGAGCTCGAGTATCAGTAGCTGTTATCCCTCTGTGAAATATGTCCAATACACTGTTAATCACAATTATTCTCGCTCGCCACTGATACGAGCGGCAGCATGAGCATCGATCTGCGCAAGTGGGATACAATGACATGTGTCAAGCAAGTAAGTGAGCCTGACCACCCAATCCCGTTAGTCGCCTCATACGACAAGCATGGGTTACTGAACGCCAATATTCTAACCCGGACCTTCATGGGTCACCGGTGCTTGAAGAGGAAGATCACATCAGTGACTAGATAGATTTACATGTGAAACCCCACATATTCCCAGCCCTATACACGTAAGTACCTCTTACTCACACCCGTTTTAATTTTACAACAATCGGTGTTAATCTATACTACTCCCTTTATTTACCCCCAAGTACGGAGACAACAACCTTTTCTGGGCCAAGGGAATCGGATGGAATGCACTCTGGCTTCTATTCTGCCTCTCCTTGCTTGCTGTGTCTGTGTGGTGCGTATTGAAAACAAATGGGTGCAGATTGAAAGAGCATAGATTGAAAAACTGACATCCTATTGGAATACTGTGTCATAGAACGTAAAATGCAGTATAAAATGCATTTTTATTATATTGGGGTTAACAATCATGGGGTTTGCGATACTTTTTTCCATGTGTATAGTTCTAGATCTGCATTCTTTCTTTCATACAACTGACTTTAATAAAGGATTGTCAGGAAGAACATTGATCTAGTGTTTTTCTTAATGGCTATATACTACGTCTGGCATATTTACCGAAGTTCTGTGATGCCGAGGCAGAAGTTCTAATGTGTCTGATTAGCAATAGCCCAGCAATATGGGGGCCACCAGGAATGGACTTCACTCGTTTTACGCATGTGTGGGTGCATCAGTGCCCACCTTATTTATACCAGTGAAGATCGGGGTTAAAATTAACCTTCAGTAACCCATGCTTGTCGTAAGAGGCGACTAACGGGATCCGGTGGTCAGACCCGCTGACTTGGTTGACACATGTCATCGGTTCCCAAGTGCGTAGATTGATGTTCATGCTGTTGATCACTGGATTGTCTGGTCCAGACTCGATTTTTTACAGACCGCCGCCATATAGCTGGAATATTGCTGAGGGCGGCGTCAAACCGAACTCACGGACTCACTCACTCGCTCACTCCCTGTTTATAAAATGATCCTTCAATGAAAACATTCCATGAATTTACCATATGAGATGCAACATCGCCATTTTTCTATAAAAAAGACAATATTCGTTTGTTACCATTCGTTGCTTACCATATTATATGTGTTGTACGTGACTTGAACAATAATGCCCATGCACGAATGTTGAAGTGGGTGGTACGTTCTGACTCCTACAGTTAACTCGAATGAGTGTTCTGCACACTTCTGCGCATTCGGATAAGATGGTGATAATAAAATACAACTAGTCACATGTATAGCGCCCTTTCCAAAAAGGATTACTGGTGGGCTTTTGCAAAGAGATGTGTTTTGAGTTTGTGCTGGTAGGAACTGAGTGTGGCACAGTTCCTAATGTCCAGAGGGAGAGTGTTCCACAGAACTGGCCCTGCTTTCTCAAAAGCTCTATCACCAAACGTTTTTGTTGTTTTGGGAACATCGAGCTGCATAAGATGAGCTAGACGGAGACATCTTTTGGGGACGTGTAAAGCAATTAGAGTTTGCAGATAAACTGGAGCCTTTTGTTGCAGTGACTTGAAGACAAAGGTCAGGACCTTGTAATTGATCCGTTGCTTGATAGGTAGCCAATGAAGCCTCTTTAGAACCGGTGTTATGTGTTCATGTTTTGACATATGTGTAATGCCATGTTAGAGCCTGTTTTTGTGAACCGTGACAAGAGTTGGTTTAAGTTGTAGCTTATTTTTAGAGAAATAACACACCTTAAATGATAACAATTCTAACTAAAACTGACTCTGATTTGCACATTTTGTACTCTAGTTATGAAGTATCATTTCTAAAGAAATTGGAATTGATGAAATATGAACGTCGTGATCTGTGGTAGGAAAAAAAGAACAGCTTTGAAAACAAACGATTGTCGGAGAGAGTTGTTTCGGAAATAAACCCTCTTCTCGCGTCTTACATGAATAATCGTTTCCAATGGCAGGAATGAATGCTTAAAACCAATTATTATAATCTTCATGTATATTTAACACTTACTTCTACTTTGTTAGTAACTCAGTTAGGTTCCGATAACCAAAAGATGACTTCATCGTGTTACCAAATTTGCAAGTGTGTTTGTCCTCTCCTCCTGAATTCAGGAATTCGGTTGATATCATGATAAGCGTTTAGCAATCTTAAAGCTGATAGTAGAGTCTTATATGTACTGATACAAACACCAATAGATGGTATCTCATCTTGTGTACATTTCAGAAGAAAAACGATCAAATTATTTTTGTTACCATGGTTAGGAACGCCAGAGCCCCATCTACTGGAACACTTGGATGTAATACCAATGAAGCATACAAATTTAACATACCACAATATCGACTGACATGTTTTATTACAATTTTAGTTTCCACAAGAATTTAGGAATATTGCCAATGCAAGACAGTTGTTATCACTCCAACAGGCCAAATAACAAGAGCTGGTTAAATAGACGTTGAAACTGTTGTTGTTGTTGTTGCTGCTGCTGTTGAACAGGCTGGGCTGAAAACAGTCAAATGTCAAATCAGAATAGATCTGTGCTTTATGTGGAACATGCATTGTACGTCTATTTTGCACTCATACAATCTAAGGACTCTTCTGTGCCGAGATACAGGGTGATGCTATCACACATTATTCAAATATTATATATCCGAAATCATATACCGGTATGTATGTCTTGGTAAATGTTTCTTCACTGTCTTATACTGACGTCAGGTAATAAGAGCACATCACACAACTTACGGAAACAGGTCCTGTTGTCGAAGGATGGCAGGGATAGGTTGGGGTTGCACAGACAGCCGTACGACCCCGCAGTGTCGACACATCTCCCACTGGGCACATAGGTGTGGAGATTGGGCTCATAACTCACCCCACAGAGGTAATTATTTTCTGAACACTCGTCAATATCTGAAAAAACACAAACTTCATGAGGTCTATTTGAACACGTGACAATTTAATTCTGGACACTCAAAAGTCCAGAAACTCTCAGCACTGCAACTTTCTGACAAGGGATTTGACAAAATTAAACATGTATTTGTCATGAATATATACTAAGGATGAAAAAAATTACAAAAGATTTTTTTGAAAACTCAAAATTTAAACTCGCGAATAGTGACCCATGGGCGAAATTGTTTAGTTCCGCTCAGAATTCATGTTTTCGAGGTTGTACTTGAATTAAAGTATGTTTATGTATCATGACACAAAATTCAACTCATTTTGACTTGATTCGGCTTAACAACAAGTTCTATTATATATATGGATATACACTTCTTTAATATGATATGAGCGACGTTTCGGTGTAGCTACTAACATCGTTATCAAGCAAATGATAACGATGTTAGTAGCTACACCGAAACGTCGCTCATATCATATTAAAGAAGGTGTATATCCATAGAACTCTCCTTGTTGTTCATCACACCACCTTCTAAATGCCACTTAAACAAGTTAATTCGGCTAATTTAGAGCAATATTTAAAAATCTCGCCCATGGGCAGAAAACAATTTTATCATAGGCGGGAATATTTACTTTTGCTTTTTTAATGTTTTGGAGGCTGTAAATGAATTGGATTTTCACATGCAATGGTAATAATAAACGTATCCCGCATTTATGCTCAGCAAAAGTAAAGACTTTAAAATACATGAGAGTTGTCTGACCTGAAGAATCAGCTGCCGGGCTTTGTGTCAAAATATCCATTCTAATTACACAAAGAAATTAGGAATATTGTTTGACAACTTTAGAAATTGGGCAGGTGTGCGTCTGGTCTTTCAAATAACCGGTGTTTTGTATGACTGTGCAAGCCGTTAGCTATTTAACTCATTGTTACGACATACACAAAGGATAACACCAGGTTATTGCGACATACATTAAAATACACACTTCGATATTACGACATACACACACGCACATAACTCGTTATCACAACATTCATGCCGATACGGGCGGTGGGGTAACCGAGTGGTTAAAGCGGCTGCTCGTCACGCCGGAGACCCGGGTTCGATTCCCTACATGGGTACAACGTGTGGAACCCATTTATGGTGTCCCCGCCGTTATATTGCTGGAATATTGCTAAAAGCGGCGTAAAATTTCACTCACTGATGCCAATACACTCATTATTGTTGAAGTAAAATTAATGTGTTTTATCAAAACCTGGTGATTGACAAATGGCGAGGTTATGTGTGACATATAACTTACTGGAGCACACATTCGGGTCGGTTAGAGTCGTCTGGAAACCTGTAGTACAGTTGCACGTAGGGACAATTGTAACTGGTGGCAGGACACAGACGCCATTAAGGCAGCCAGCAGTGTCGCACAGAGCTGTCAACCAAACCAATAATACCTTTCTTATCAAAACGTTTCATCCAAAACATCATAACTAATCAAAGCATTTATGCCGTAAATTCGCATATGACCATCAAAGATAAAGAAGAATATGTAATTATGCTATAATGTATTTCTTTCATACAGAGGATTTAGAATTCTAGAAAAGGAATTATGCTAGAATTAGAAGTCGCTTGTTTGATGAAAAAGTTGTATATATTCATGCAATTTACAGCGTTGAGGTGAACTTGAATACACTCTGTATATGATACTCATTCGCATTTCGAAATACATAGATATCATCGTTCAATGACAATTCTAAAGGACTTTTATAGGGCTTAATCCAAGATGTTTGGTAGTCGAGAGGCGTTAATCTACGGATATCACGAACTGAAATTTGTAGCTCCTTTGAGATCGATAAAACCGTAGTTTACTGTATAATGTATACATATATGTATGGTTCAGTATGCCTGTTAAAGCTGTGAATACCTAGAAAAAAATCACGTGTGAATGACCTCCACCACGTAAAATAATACTAAAATTAACTTACCTTGAGCTGATGTCAACGGCATGTACACCGCCAAGACAACAGCAAGGGTGAACAAAGACGAAAACATGGTGTAAAAAATCGAGTCAGTAGACAATGCATCTGTGATAGACAGACATCGGGTTATATAGCTGCCCTGCCTCACCCCCAAAAAGGAATATGTTTTTGTTCACTTCTCTCCTCGTCATTTGACATCAGATATGCCCATAACTTTTAAATCACATCACGGAACAAAAGCAGTATATCCACAGCTATGTGCGTACATCCATCATTTGTTACAAGACATGCTGCTGTTATTACACTGGGATTAGACTTTTTCTTTCATGGTATTAAAGAAAATATCCATAGAGGTAGATGACCTCCTGGTGACTCTGTGAGTGACCTCCCATTCACTCTTCATCTTGTACGTGATGTTATGAAGGCCTCAGGACATACGTTCCAAGTTATTGATAGTCTGATAAAAGGATTGCCACACAGTACCAGTTTGAATCTCATTGTCTCGTTATCTTCTGATGACTAAATAGAGAGATTATGAGCGGAGTAGGTGTTGTTTTTTTGGGGGTTATTATTGGAAATATCATACATTTATTAGATTACATTAGATTACATTACAATAGCTGAGTTGGGGGTTGGGGGGTCGGGGTCTATTTTGAAACGTCATACATTACATTACATTACATTACATTACATTACATTATTGAACCGCGATAATTATGATGTAGTGTCCTCCAGATCGAACATAGTTAATACGTAAACAGTGTTAGTCCTATCTGCACTGTATATTCAAGCATATTCAACCGAATCAGTACTTTGAGAATAACAATCTGAAAACAGACCATTCCTTATTTAATGAGAAATGTTCTTCTTTAAAACATTTATTCCTTAAAACAAATATTACTTTTCTCCAAAAGGTCGTTTCATATCATTTACTTTTACTTAGAACATCAAATCACAATCATCCAGACAATTGGTCTGTTCTATTCTTGGAGGATAGAACATTGTGTATTTCTTCAACTCACCAGCAACTGGAGACGTATTTCTTTTAAATATATACTATCTGTGCAAAAGAATACCCAGTCTGGGCTGTACTCAGAAACAAATTACGTTAGGTGTAAAGGGGAAAATAGCTGTCAAAGCTTATGTAAATGGATCACTGAAAATCAGGGATGACACCAGATGTTCACGACATGGGTAAGATTACTAAGAATGTCCTGTCCTACCGGTAGCATTGGCATAATAATATTGATTGGAATGAAAGTAAATTTGTCTGACTATCGCAAGACATACAGGAATGAAAAATTAATTTATGTCTATAAATATTATTTACAATTTTCATTCTCCAAGAAATAATAGACGCTCGAAACTTATGTTCTTAAACTGATATTTGTCACTCAAAATTGTTTTTCAGCTTGTCACATGGTTTCATGTAAATATATTGTATTATATCAAAGATATGTATGTGAAATCTGTTATTTGTTCCACAGTGGTACTGCTCAGGCATTTAGCGACCGAACAGTTTCAAATTCATTCTAATAATTCCACCGATCATGATGCAACCGGTGTATTGTGACGTGGTTTGTCATAGTCTAATAACTCTTCTGTATTTAAACAAAGTTTGGTTATAAATGTTTAAAACTATAAATGGGACAGCTCGGGTGATGTTGACCCGGGTACTGCGTTAAATTTCGGTAGGCGGTGCGTCAATTTTCTGTTTATGTGAGCAACCGGCGCGGTTTGTATGCAATTTCACATGAGGTGAGTCATTTTACCTCCATACGTCTGTCTCACAGTCCCTGAACCACCATATTTTCTCTACTGGCTCAGGTTCTGAATCTCCCATCTCGCTTGGGCGCCTTTTCAATTTAAACGAGTTTATTTGTTACTATCAAAATTATGTACATTCGGAGAATCTCCCATTTCATTGGGGCGCCATTTCAATTGAAACTGGTTTATTTGTTGCTATCAAAATTATGTATATTTAGAGAATCTCACATCTCACTGGGGCTCCTTTTCAATTGTAACGGGATTATTTGTTACTGTCAAACTTATTTATATTTGGAGACTAAGCGTTAGTCTACGCGATACACAGTCGGGTTAGATTTGTTTACATCAGTTGTGGGGGACAGCAACGATTTGGGATGAAAGTTAAAACACTAGATAAACAATTCAGTTCAGTTTCAAATCACAAAAGTGTCAAAACCTGTCCATAATAATAGGAAGGCCTTTCTAAAAGCAGAATTGAAATAAAAGCGGCAAAATCCTGTCCGTAATCATATACAATTGATTCTAAAACAAAATTAAAATAAGAGCAAAACAAATCTTCCCATAATCAAAAACGGCTTATCACTCGTTTATACATTCTTGTCGACATTATATTATCACATTTTAGCACTCTGAGTCATTATGCAAAGATCAAAATATGGGTAAGTCCTCCGCCCATATCTCCACTCCTAAATTTTAACGATGAGGAAATATATATACTCTCCAAAAAAAGAAACGCATATAGGAATTTCAAGCGTATGTTTATGTTTATTTTGAGTGGGCATCCAGAACTGCACGGCATCGCCTAGGCATCGAATGAATAAACCTCAGAATCTCGTGTTGCCCAGTCGCAGCCCACTCTGCCTGTAGTGCCTGTAGTGCGAGTTGCTGAAGTGTCTGGGTCTGAGGGTTACGGCGTCGCACTCGTCTGTCCAGGGCATCCCACAGTTGTTCGATCGGGTTTAAGTCCGGTGATCTTGAGGGCCAGGGGAGCACATTGATGTTGTGGTTCTGGAGGAAGTCTCTAGTGTGACGTGCAGTGTGGGGCCTGGCATTGTCCTGTTGAAACAACTCCCTCTGGTGATCAATGATCGGAAGGAGGTGTGGGCGTAGGATTTCGTCACAGTACCGTTGAGCTGTCAGGCTGCCCTGGATCATAACCAAATCACTTCTCCTACGACAGTTGATCGCTCCCCACATCATAACACTTCCCCGGCCGAATCTGTCCACCTGGGGAACGCAAGCGTCGGCGAAACGTTCACGTCGACATCTGTACACCCGCATTCTTCCATCGCGTCGTTCCAATAGAAATCGTGATTCATCACTGAACCAGATTCTACGCCAATTCGGTAGGTTCCAGGCCTGAACGTTGGTGCACCATTGAACTCGATGTCGACGATGTTGTTGTCGTAGTGGTCGCTCGAGGTCGCCCACTACGGGGGGCATCTGCTACCGCATTCTGCCGGCGATATCTCTCCCAGTGCCGTGAAAGGGTGCTTTGGTGAACATTCATGCGTCGGGCAACTGCACGTTGAGACTGGCCAGCTTCAAGCAAACCAATGGCGATATGACGGTTGGCTTCGCTTAGACGTGGCATTTTGCGTTCGTCAACAATATTCCAAATACAGTGAATAATCGACAGACGGCGATCATCCTTTTATACCCTTCATGCATTGCATTGCATGTGAATTGTGTATTCTGTGACACTACACGCCGAAATTGAAAATCATGCTGTTAAATACGGGTATTTTACGGATGGTGCGTTTTGTTGTGATGTTTCAACACATAAACACCATAGGACTCATAAACAGAGCAAAACCTTTTCTAAAATGAATCACGTTTTAATTCATTGCTACATGAAATTTCTATTTTCATGATGCGTTTCTTTTTGGGGAGAGTATATATTCAGGTAATATGATTTAATTTAAGAGGGGATAGGGGTGGAAGTCTAGAAAAGATATCAGTCGGTTTCGCTATTTCCAGCTCATGTGTGTAATTCAGCGGAAGGGAAAAGATTACTTTATGAATACAGTTTCTCACGTACTGCGTGCACCCCTCTAACAGGTGTCAAGAGGCGTGGTAGACTTGTTTAAGTCTCTAAAGTAGTAATTAATAGTTTAAATGATAATTTCTTTAAAAAAACATAAGTAAGAGACTTGGGTCCGTCCTGTCCGCTTAGCCGACTTGCTCTTTAAAAGTTAGAATTACTATACATGCATGGGCTTAGCACTCAGTGTAGCCTTGGAGCAAGGCTAGTGGCGCAGCTGCCAGAGTCGAAAACTGTTACTACCGCCGTGAGTGATCTCATTACCGCTTGAGAGAGGAAGAGAGAGCGAGAGAGAGGGAAAGGGAGAGATGGATAGATGGATTTAGAAATATGATTTGAGAGAGAGAGAGGAATGGATAGATGGATGAATATATAGAGAGATGACTTGTTTGAGTGGCATTTTAGAAGTTGAGACATACAATATAGAGCATTTTTTATGGATAACAAGTTCTTTATTTCGTGAGTGCGACGTTTCGATACAGATTCTTGTACCGTTGTCAAGCAGGATACAGATTCAAGCAGGACAACAGTACAAGAATCTGTATCGAAACGTCGCATTCTCGAAATAAAGAAGTTGTTATCCATAAAGTTTGTTCAACATAGAGAGATGGTAAGATAGATATAGAATTATGATTTGATATAGATAGATAGATAGATAGATAGATAGATATAGAGATAGAAATATGATTTGAGATAGATAGATAGATAGATAGATCTAGAAATATGATTTGAGATAGATAGATAGATAGTAGATAGATAGACAGATAGATTTAGAAATATGATTTCTATGACACATGAATATAAAGCCGTGTCCATCACATTCCGGATTTCTTCCCGTACTCCGATGTTGTAGTTATTTGCGTCGTCGTGGTTTAATGTATACAGCCATCACTATGACGACAGGTAATGTAATACTGTGCTGGAGATGCGTTACGAGACAGTGACAAGAAACTGGAGAACCGCCACCGACATACCACCACAACAAGGACAACACCATGCATGTTACTGTCTATATGTTTTAAATCTACAGAATGTGTAACAAATATGTGTGCCTTGTGTAGTATGTACTTTCATTAACTCACCAGTATCCAGTAAGTATCCGGGAAGAAATCCGGAATGTGATGGACACGGCTTCATATTCATATTTCATAGAAATCATATTTCTAAATCTATCTGTCTGTCTATCTATCTATCTATCTATTCATATATCTATCTATCTCTCTATATCTATCTATCTATCTAACTATCTATCTATATCAAATCATAATCCTATATCTATCTTACCATCTCTCTATGTTGAACAAACTTTATGGATAACAACTTCTTTCTTTTTCGTGAATGCGGCGTTTCCATACATATTCTTGTACTGTTGTCCTGCTTGATTCTGTGTCCTTCTTGACAACGGTACAAGAATCTGTATCGAAACGTCGCACTCATGAAATAAAGAAGTTGACAGTGACAAGAAACTGGAGAACCGCCACCGACATACCACCACAACAAGGACAACACCATGCATGTTACTGTCTATATGTTTTTAAATCTACAGAATGTGTAACAAATATGTGTGCCTTGTGTAGTATGTACTTGCATTAACTCACCAGTATCCAGTAAGAACTACATTAACAACGGAAAACTCTCTTGACAGCATTTGATACGACCCCACCCAAGCGCAAGGTTTTGCGTGTGAAAATATAATCTCTCTCGTGTAAGCCAGTTGTCAGAGGGGAAGCTTCCCGTCAAGCCCTAAGGGAACCCTGCTCCAAGGCTTAATTGAAGGCTGAGCCCATGGATGTATAGTAATTCTATCCATCGCCTTATTTTAAAATAAATATGACTTGAACTGTTCATTTTTTGTCTTAAAGACTTGTGAAAGTCTAGCCCCACGTCTCCAGTGTACTGTAGTAGTCAGCCGATGAACTGTGGCCGTTTTGAAATGAACCCCATAGACAGTCTGAGTCCGTTTGGTAGCAGGATGCACCGTTCACACACACTGTTGGTTTGTTTTACAGGTACGTTTTACATGTTTTACACTATATACTTTATACACGTTGTAAGTAGCATGTAGCATGTTAGCTTTCATTTCGACTCCACCATGAATAATTGCCACTGAGCTGATGTGACAGTGACTTACGTGTGATACAACTGATCTCAATTCGCCGATCACTTTCCAAGAAGTCGAGTGCGCGGTGGCACGCGCTAAACGTGGAAAGTCTGCTGGTATTGACCTGCTCCCAGCTGAGTCTCTTAAAAAATAATACGTGCATACAACTTCTTTTTACCTTGATGACCTTTTGTTTTGAAAATGGTGTGTGTCCTGAACTCTGGCAAAACAGCATCATCTATCCAATCAAGAAAACGGACAGCGATGCACGTGATCCTCTGGGATATAGAGGCATTTCGCTAGTATGTGTGCCTTGTAAAATTTATTCAGACATTTTAAATATGCGCCTTAGCAAGTGGCTAGAAGCTAATGGTTTATTGGCTGAAGTCCAAAATGGATTCCGTTCCTCACGTAGTACACAGGAACACTTATATAGCCTCTTCTCCATTGTTAATAACAGAAAGTTATCTAAACAATCTACGTTTGTTTGTTTTATTGATGCCATGAAAGCTTTTGATAAGGTTAATCGTAATTGTTTATTGTATAAATTGTTGAAATCGGGTATTAATGGAAAGTTTCTCCATGCAGTCCAGTCGATGTACGAGGGCACTTTGTCACGAGTTCGTATTAATGCATGATAGCTTCACTGAAGCGTTTGATGTAAACTCGGGTGTACGACAAGGTTGTGTTTTGTCGCCGACACTTTTTGAGTTTATATTAATGATCTAGCCAATGAAATAGACAGTTTACATTGTGGTATAAATATTGATGGAGATATGTTGAGTTCATTGTTTTATGCTGATGACGTTGCTTTGATAGCACCTGATGAGCAATCCTTACAGCGTATGCTAGACTGTGTTGCTGGATGGTGTTCATGTTGGAGGATCTTGGTTAATATCAATAAGACTAAAGTTGTACATTACCGTCCTTGTTCTGTTAAACGCTCAGAGTTTGTATTTTCATTGGGTAGTGAGGTCATTACCTACTGTTGTGCTTACAAGTACTTGGGTCTGTGGCTGCATGATAATCTTGATTTAAATGTTACTGCTAATAAGGAAATAGCTAAGTGTGCTAATAGAGCTTTGGGTGTGATATTTTGTAAGTTTAAGGCAGTTGGTGGTATGGATTATAAAGTTTATAATAAGTTATATGATAATCTTGTTCAGCCCATTCTTTCGTATGGAGCCGCTATTTGGGGAACACGGCAGTATAGCTGTATCAATGCAGTTCAACATCGGGCAGCCAGATTCTTCTTAGCCGTCGCTAGAAAAACTCCAAATTTAGCAGTTCGTGGCGAAATGGGCTGGGTTTCTCAGTATACCAAACAAAAAATTGATGTTCTTCGTCTTTGGCGTAAACTTCAGTTACTTGAATTTAGCAGAATACCCAGCGTTATTAGCAGAGGGTCATTTAATTGGAGGAGATCTTGGTTTATTGGAGCTCATAAATTATTAGTTAGTTTTCATTTACCTATAAATGATCTGTTTAGTATTTCACATGAGGAGTTTGTTGTTGCTAAAGAACACCTTAAGGCGCTAGACAGTTTTGATTGGTTTTCTGGGCTTTAGAATGATAAAGGGCAGGACAATGGAAATAAATTACGTACTTATTAAAGATTTTTTAACAAGTTGAACATTATGTTGAAACAATTCTACCTAGGTCACATCGTAGTATCTTGAGCAAATTCCGTTTTGGCACTTTGCCATTAGAGGTAGAATTGGGTAGATATTCTCGTCCGAAGTCTCCCCTTCATGAAAGGGTGTGTACTCGCTGTAGTAGCAATGCCGTTGAAGATGAATTACATTTTCTGGTTAACTGTGATTATTATTCAGATCTCAGATATAATCTTTGGAAGGAAATAACCAGTATCCATCCTACATTCCAATCTATGTCAGCAGTAGATAAAATGGTATTCTTACTTACAAATAACCAGTTCGTAAAGCCCCTTGCCGCACTCATCCATACTATGTTTAGGCGCCGGAATATTTCTGTAGAATAGTTAACTCTACAATGTACTTTGATAATAAGGTCAACATGTTTGCTATTTATGTAATTTATGCATTTTAGGTAAGAAATCGTAAGTGTCTGTGTGTGTGTGTGTGTGTGTGTGTGTGTGTGTGTGTCTGTGTCTGTGTCTGTGTCTGTCTGTAGGTGTCTGTCTGTAGGGGTGTGTGTGTGTGTGTGTGTGTGTGTGTGTGTGTGTGTGTGTGCTTGTATGTGGGTGTGTGAAGGTGTATGCGTTTTGTGTTTGTGCATACGGTTCGGCTGCGTGTGTGTATGTGTGGGTGTGATTTTATTACTAATGTTTTATACAACTGTGACATTTGTGTCTCATAGGCCTTTTGGCCGGATGCTGCTTTTAAATTCTTGCAATAATGTACCGTCTTTTTTTAATGTTCTGCAGCATGTGACACATTAATAAACTATATTTCTTCTTCATTCCTCTTCTCTCGTGTGTCGGAGAAACGGGGCGAGACTCCATTGTACCCCAACCATTCAGCCTTGTGTACAGAAGCTCAAATATACTAATGACCGGCCCATTAACGTTATTTTGACGTGGTGTGGTATTAGTCTGTAGAGGTGAAAACGTGTATGACGGGGTGGGGGTCGTGGGGGGGGGGTTTGGGGGTTGCGTAGGAGATGATATAAGTATTGGAGTAGTTACATCGAGGAAGGGACCGGCATAAGGGACCGGCATTAGGGACCGTTCATAATTAATGGCGGTTGATGATTTCAAAGGGGGTCACCCATTATGTTCCGGATAGTAAAGGGGGATCATCAATTTTGTACAGATATAAAAAGTAAGCGTAGAGGGATGGGGAATGATTGGGTGGGTGGGGGTAGTCAATGATATTGTACATGACATGCGGGGGGCTCATTCACATTGAACATGCTTATCCATAGAAATCATCATCACCCCCACGCCCACCCCACCCCCACCCCACCAACCATAAATAACCATAAAATACGAACGGTCCCTTAGTTCGTGACTTCGTCTGAGGCTGACTCCGTCGTTTCTTAGTGTTTTTGATGGGAGAATACCTTGGTTGTCGCCCTGAGGTCGAGGTGTTATCTGGTATGGGATCTGTTGAAAAGTACGCTATATTTTTTCTCAGTCCACATACTTCCGTTGTTGCGTACACGTCGAGGATTAACATATCTCACGCTGAGAGTTCATCTGAGTTCAGGTCATGGTGGGTGTGAATTGCATAGGAACTGAAAAAAATAGTTATGGCAACTCAATAACAAGTTTTCAGTCCTGGCCTTGAGACTTAAAATACACAAAATAAACACTGCATTGTGTGTAAGTCGATAAACATAATGTGTGTTAAACTGCTTTCATTAATAAACTCTGTCAAAAAAGAAACGCAACCCCTGTCCTCAGATATGAAAAATTCGTTTGAATGAAGTTATTGCTTCCAAACTGAATTTTATTCGAATGTATTGAAATGATACACGTAATTAATGAAGATTACCATCCAAACAACTGCATTTGTACGCATAAGTGTATTTTATTGCTTATTCCGTCACAACGCATGAAATGACCCTCATGGTGACTTCGCACAAAAAAAACACATGCAAATCATGAAAATGGCAGTTAATGTAGGGGTGTATAAAAGCCCATGTGCTGCCGTATTATATTCATTCATTTGTCGCCGAAAAGCTGTGTTAAAAATGCCACGATTGAGTGCTGCCGACCGAAATATCGCCATTGGTCGTGTTCAAGCCGGAGAAAGTTTTGGAACTGTTGCACGGCACCTAAATGTTCACAAAACAACGATATCCCGACTTTGGAGCCGCTACAACAACTTCAATTTGACCAACGATCGCCCGAGAAGTGGAAGGCCAAGAATCACGACCCCTTCAAGATCGGTACATCCGGGTCCATCACCTGCGTAATCGGCATGCCCTACCAACCGTGACTGCCACACAAATACCAGGTTTGAGGAGAGTGTCAGCTCAAACGATTAGGAACCGTCTGAAAGAAGCGGGTTTACGTGCCTGTAGACCAGTTGTTGGACCTGTACTACGCCCCCTACATCGACGCCGACGACTCAGGTGGTGCAACAACGTAAGGATACGGACTTTACAAAACTGGAGGCGAATCTGGTTTTCTGATGAATCACGTTTTCTTTTGCAACGTCACGACGGAAGACAGCGTCTGTATAGGAGACGTCATAAACGTTTTGCGCCCATCTGCGTCCGACAGGTGGACAGATTTGGCGGAGAAAGCGTCATGGTTTGGGGAACCATCTCATACAACCAGAAATCAGACTTGGTGATCGTTCCAGGGAACCTGACAGCCCAACGTTACATCAACCACGTGTTAGAGCTTCACCTTCTCCCGATTATTGACCAACAGACACAGATTTTTCAACGGGACAACGCCCGGCCTCATACTGCACGTGCAACAATGAACTTTCTGCAGAATTCCAACATCAATGTCTTGCCATGACCCTCTAAATCACCAGACCTCAACCCTATTGAACACCTGTGGGATACTCTGGATCGACGCGTACGTCAACGTCAGCCGCCGCCACAGACGCTGCAACAGCTCGCCGTTGCACTGCAGGAGGAGTGGAGAGCCATTCCCCAGGAAAGAATCCGGCGTCTTATCCGTTCTTGTCCAAGGAGATGCCGTGCAGTGATTGCAGCGCGTGGTGCTCATACGAGATACTGAGAAAGACGCCCCCCTGGTGACAAACTGGTGTCTGTGAGATGACTTTTGAAATGACAATTTTAAACATGCCCATCTGGGTTATTATTCTGCCAAATTTCAGACTTCTGTCTTAAATAATAAAAATGCCGTGTCGTCCTAAAACTTCAGATCAAAATCTCTAAAATACAGGGGTTGCGTTTCTTTTTTGACAGAGTTTATTTCCTGCTGATAAATTATTGACGTGTGCGATGAGTAAGTGAGTATGTTTTACGCCGCTTTTAGCGACATTCCAGCAATATCACGGACGGGGTACACCAGAAATGGGGTTGATACTTTGTTCCCGTGTAGGGAATCGAACCCGGGTCTTCGGCGTGACGAGCGAACGCTTTAACAACTAGGCTACCCCAACGCCCCCGCTCTGGTCCTCAGTTTATTTCTTAAGTTATCGCTGGTGTTGCACCTTCATTGGTTATTCAGCCCGTGAAGATCCGGGTCAGAATTGCTCTTCATCAACCAACGCTTGTCGTAAGAGGCGATTAACGGGATCGGGTGGTCAGGCTCGCTGACTTGGTTGACACATGTCACCGGATCCCAATTGTATAGATCGATGCTCATGCTGTTGATCACTCGATTGTCTGGTGCAGACTCGGTTATTTACAAACCTCCGCCATATAGCTGGAATATTGCTGAGTGAGGCGTAAAACTAAACTCACCCACTCACACTTAATTATTGGTTATATTGTCCGTTATAAATTCTGTTTTCACTACTAAATACGGTTTCGGTTTTGGGTTGCGGAATATTGACTCGTCCGCAGTGTAGGGTACCGGGTACAGTTTTGTATATTGACTTTGCTTAGGGTACATTTCGTTTATCAGTTTTTAGGCAGGGCTGTCTGGTTTAGACACGATTTTGTACAGAACGCCGCTAGAGCTGGAAAATTGCTGTGCGCTGAGTTTGCCAACACACAAACATAAGGCGGGACTATTATCGCGGATGAACAGGAATGCAGTTGTAGCGGCCATAAAATATCCGAGTCCCGTGCTGGGATTCGAACCACGAACCTTCTAATCCGAAGTCGGACGCCTTGTCCGCATGACCAAAGAGGTTAACCTCGTCAGCAAGCTGACAAGGTAAGGATGTCATCTGTGGGGATGACTCCACGCCCTTCTACATACTCCCCCGTCAACAGAAGCACGTCCCGAGCCGCATAGTTGGGTACTGAGAATTATTTTGCTCATATTTGATATGTACGTGCTCAGCCCAACGTTGGGCGCCCATGTAGCGGCCATAAAATTTCCGAGTCCCCTGCTGGATTCGAACCACGAACCTTCTAATTCACGAACCTCCTTGTCCACATGACTAAAGAAGTTAACCCCGTCAGCATGCAATATTTGTGACTTGCTAATCACAGGGGGCGGTGGGGTAGCCTACTGGTTAAAGCGTTCGCTCGTCACACCGAAGACCCGGGTTCGAATCCCCACATGGGTACAATGTGTGAAGCCCAATTTTGGTGTCCCCTGCCGTGATATTGCTGGAATATTGTTAAAAAGAGGCGTAAAACTAAACTCACTCACTATTAATCACAGGATCCAGGCACATGTCATGGAAGCAACTCTGTAGGAAAAGCTGCGTGTCATGGACTCCTGTGCCTATCACAGTATATAACAATGTAATAATACATTCCCGTCTCCATTTTCAGTCACTCTCGCCGTCCCGATAGTTGCTGGGGACGCCACATTTGTTCGGACAACACTTCAAGAACATTTTTCAGAGGCCAGGCATCACGTGACCAATCCAGATTATAAACTCAAAACCAAAGAGTTTATTTCAACGGAATTCAGGAATTATGGCCTAGAAACGCACGAGCATTCCTTTACAGGTGAAAACCAGGTAATATGTAAATGAGTTATGATATATGCACATTTCCTTTCCCTGTTTACACCCTCAGTCCTGAATATATCTGGCAATAAAGAGCACTGTCGTAATTTATGTCACGATTAAATTTTGATCTGCAATACCATATCAGCCTAAATCCTTGTTATGCCTGAAAACAACGAAGCGAGGTGGGAATGTGTGACCTGGCTGTTTGTTGATTTATTTTGTTTCTTTGTTTATTTGTTGTTTGCTATCAACCACTAGTTTCTTTATACTACATAATTCGCAGTGCTGAGTCCTGACTTCAACAACATAATTCATAAGATTTTAAACTCAGGGTAACCTGTCTCTTCAACTACGAGATGTGAGGGATCTCAGTTGTATTAATTCGGGCTGGCATTCCATTTCACGAGAGCAGGTGCGGTGCTGAAATTTCAAGCATTATATTTGTGTTAAATTTTGAAAGGTTTTTGGTAATTTTTATGATAAACTGTCAGCATTTTAAGGCGTTGCGAAGAGCAGCGTTCACCACCACCTTCCGAAATGCAAGGATGGACGCTGGTCTTGGGTTCGAATCCTATGTATACCCTTATCAACATTATGTGAGACCCATATACTTGTCCATGATCTCACCAAGTGGTAAACGTTTAAAAAGTGCATTTTTATTCATCTTTTCCTCTTAAATTAAACTGACACATTAGAATGAAAATACAGTTGATATCGGAGTTAGTTTCTGTTTATTCACGCACCTTTGATGCCTGTTTATGAAGGTGGCTGCTGTCAATGTTATCGGCATTCTGAGGGGTTCGATGTTCAACACCAGTGATGACAGGGTGTTCGGTATCGCGGCTCACTACGACACAATGAGAAACACATCAGGTGAGTAAATATGTTCTCGCAATGTTCGAAAGAGACCAGACCCGTGAAGATCCGGGTTAGAATTGATCTTCAGTAATGTTATCGTATATTCGGTCGCTGTCTCTCCTTGATTATTGGTGCCCGTGAGGATCCAGGGTTATAACTGGACTTCAGCAACCCATGCTTGTCGTAAGAGGCGACAAACGGGATCAGGTGGTCAGGCTCGCTAAATTTGTTGATACATGTCATCGGATCCCAATTGTATGGATCGATGTTCATGCTGTTGATCAGTGGACTGTCTGGTCCACACTCGATTGTTTACAGACCTCTGTTATAAAAAACAAACAAACCTTTTTTTATAGGAACCATTGAGAATAAGATGCAGTCTTCCTAAAACACATGTTTGTCGCAAGAGGCGACCTTCAAGATCGGGGTGATCAGGCTCTTTGACTTGGTTGATGCATGTAATTGCACACTAGCTTGGTAGATCAGTGCTATTTGTCTCAATGTCTGGTCCAGATTTGTTATTTATGTACCAGCTGAAATTTTGCTGAATGCGACATAAAACCGCATGCAATCAGTAAGATTCTCATTCTGCCAAGATTATTGCAACATTCTGCTTACACGTGCCTCCAAAACCCAGATAAGACTGCAATCTCTCCAAAATAAAGCTGCCCGTCTTGTTACCCATTCTAAGCCCTCCTGTGACGTACATTTCGTTCTGGATTCCTTGCACTGGTTACGGATGCATGAAAGAATTGATTTCAAGGTACTTACTCTCGCTTTCCAGTGTGTTAACACAATGTCTCCCTCATACCTGTGTGATCTTCTCACACCATACACTCCTGGTCGTGCCCTCAGATCCAGTAACCAACACCTGCTGGATCCTCCACCATTCAACCTCAAGACATTTGGTGCCCGCTCTTTTGCTTCAGCTGCAACCACACTATGAAACTCACTTCCGCTTAAACTACGTACAACTCCATCTCTTCAAGTGTTCAAGCGTAACTTCAATACACACCTTTTCAGCCGATACAAACAATAACTCTCTCCAAGAACTTTCCAGAGAATATGTACACTCCCCAACACTGCAGCCTCTCCCGGGCACTCTCCTGGTCTGCAGTAAGAGATCAGGAGGTACCAAACCAAGGGCACCGACAACAATGGGGAGTCTGACGACAGTGTACTTGGAATGCACGCGAGACATTTCAAGGCGGGGTCCGCATATTTAGTATGGTTTTCCTGAATCTTGCCAGTCACGTTGCTGTCAAAAGGGACAGAAAATTCAATGATACAAATAAATTCATTGGCTTTATCAAAAAGGACAAGATCAGGTTTGTTGGCTGGAATTCTTCTGAGGCTGTATATAGGCCTATTCCACAGAAGTTTAAAAGCATCATATTCCATGACGCCCAGGAAATGTTCAGGGTCGTGCCATGGATGGACCTCGGAGTCAAAGCCACATGCATGGCGGAGGAGATAGTAAAAGCAACGAGCCATGCCATCATGTCTTTTCAAATATGCTGTTTGTGCCAAGGAAGGGCATCCACTGACAAGGTGTTGGACAGTCTCTGTAAATTCATTGCAAAGTCGGCATTTCATATTGATTTTTCTTTAAGAATCACATTTTGGCGATTACGAGTGGGAAGTGACGAAGGAGGGATTGCTATTCTGTTCCACGCACTGCATGATTGGAATACACTACCCACAATACATTGCGTCTATTACATTGGTTTCTTCTGTTATTTTACCAGGTGTCGATGACAACGGAAGTTCAATGGCGGCATTGCTAAGTGCTGCTAAAGCTTTGTCGACAAGTCAAAGGAACTATACCTTCATGTTTGTCGCGTTTGACCTGGAGGAATGGGAAGATGGTGAGTACCCTGTGAACAACGCTTCAATACCTTGAAACATTGAAATAGAGGTCCAACACCTTGTGTGGCTGAAATGTAGTTTGAGCGTTATAACACCCAACACTTTCACTGGCTGTAACATTGTAGCAGTGTCACACAATGTGTCTCTGATGTGTTAGTTAAATTGCTATCAAGCTGACGGGTTTGTAATATATCATGTGTATAAGAAGCTACATACCATACATTATAGCCGCGATATATAGAGATGCCACACAATGTTTGGACTAAAACGTTAGTTATAGTGTTGAAACACCGTCATATAGAGGTCCAACCAGCTGAAACATTGTGGTTTTGTTATATTGAGGCCTAACGCTGTCTGGCTGAAACATTGCAGTTGTGTGGTAAAGAGGTCACAACGGCTGAAAAATTGTGGTTTTGGTATATTGGGGCCCCTCACAGTATGGCTGAAACACGTTGATATAGAGGTGCAACCAACTGAAACATTGTGGTTTTGTTATATTGAGGCACGCATTGTCTGGCTGAAACATTGCAGTTGTGTGGTGAAGAGGTCACAACAGATGAAACATTGTGGTTTTGTTATATTGAGGCTCCTTACTGTCTGGCTGAAACATTGCAGTTGTGTGATATAGAGATCCAACCAGCTGAAACATTGTGTTATTGTTATATTGAAGCCCCTTACTGGCTGGCTGAAATATTGTAGTTATGTGATATGGAGGTCCAGCCAACTAAAACATTGTGTTATTTTTTTTTTATTTAGGTCCCTTACTGGCTGGCTTAAACATTACAGTTCTGTGATATAGAGGTCCAACCAACTGAAACATTGTGTTATAGTTTTATTTATATTGAGGCCCCTTACTGGCTGGCTGAAACATTGCAGTTGTGTGATATAGAGTTCCAACCAACTAAAACATTGTGTTATTGTTTTATTGAGGCCCCTTATTATATAGAGTTCCAACCAGCTGAAACATTTTGTAATTGTTATACTGAGGCCCCTTATTGTCTGACTGAAATATTGCAGCTGTGTGATATAGAGGTCACACCGACTGAAACATTGGCGTATTGCTAAAGTTAGGCCCCTTACTGTCTGGCTGTAACATTGCAGTTGTGTGATATAGAGGTCACAACGCCTGAAACATTGTGGTTTTGTTATATGCAGACCCAACACTGTCTGACTGAAACACTGCAGTTGTGTGACAGAGATGTCACAACGGCTGAAGCATCATGGTATTGATATATTGAGGCCCGCATTGTCTGGCTGAAACATGGCAGTATTGATATATTTCACAAGACTCATTAGACCCACAGCCGCAGAAGACTTTCCTTCATCACAAACCCTATATTTAAGCTGACTTACAGCTCTATTCATATTTGTATACATCAGATGCTGACAAGGCATGTGCCGTTCTTGGATGCGGAAGTGATGCCTTCATACGAGACTGGATCCCTACCTACTGGACCACAACCCCCGACTTTGCCGGCTTCATCGTTATGGACACTATCATGAACTTCAACGAGACCGTGGAGTCTCAGGTACTCCCTGGACCTTTTGTAAAGGTGAGAACAGAATTTAAGCAGGCCAGAAACATGTTATTGTGTGTTCGAACTCAGGTCGCCTGATTATGCTTACTGTTTGTCAACACGTTACACATGCTCATGGTTTAATACAGGTAAAGGTCTAATATCTGCAACACATCAGGTACTTTATGCCGTGACTACACCAACCACTCCACTGGTCAACTCACTCAATAAATGAGGTTCAGTTCCTCATGACCGGGAAGATCCGGGTTAGAACTGGTCTTCAGCAACCCATAATGGTCGCACGAGTGACTAACGGGATCGGGTGGTTACGCTCGCTGATTTGATCTACACGTCATCGTTTTCCAATTGCGTAGATCAAAGCTCATGCTGTTGATCACTGGACTATCTGGGACTCCTTTCACGAAGCATCCTTTACTAAGCTTAACCTTAATTCCCATTCTTTAATATTGCACTATTGCACAAAGGTTTTTGTGACTTACGATCACCATAGTGCTGTGTGAAAGGAGACCCTGGTCCTTACTCTATTATTTACAGACCGCCGATCTATAGCTGAAATATTGCTGAATGCAGCGTTAAACAACAAACAATCGATGCTCATGCTTTTGATCACTGGACTGTCTGATCCATACACAATTATTAACAGACCGACGTTAGTTATCTTGAATATTACTGACAAATTCTAGTACTGTTGTTGGGTTGAGTCCCATCCGGGATTCGAACCCACACCCTTAGCGTCAGGAACCTATTCACCAGCACATAAAGTCAGCCGCCTAACCCACTCAGCCACGGCGACTGGCGATTAGGTGCCTGAATCTATAGGTGTGGGTTCAAATCCCGGATGGAACTCATCCCAACAAAAGTACTAGAATTTCTACTTTACTAAGAAAGTGTAATCCCAAATATAACATTATACATTAGACCACTTTCTTAATGGCATTGTGTAATCACAGTTTCATCATGACCTTACAGAACTTACAATAGCATCATTCCTTCTTTACAGCTGTTTCCTGAAGCCATCCGGAGCATCAATTCTGATGACCGTCAGGGGGGACTTTCTGGCTTGCATCACACGCGCCTACGATGCTTCCTTGGCTCGGGTATTCCAAGAGGCATTCAACCAGTCTGGCGATGCCAAGTTTGAACTGGAGGTTTTGGACATTAAAACTTTAACGGAGCAGACACTCTCGGCTCTGGACGCCTCTATTTACAGGGATGCTCTCCGTAGTGACCATGCGCAGTTTTGGAAAAAGGGAATAAAGGCAATATTTCTGACAGATACGGGTAAGTAATGGATGCCGATGGACAGATGCCACGTTAGAACCTTTTTTTCATGAAAAATGAACATTTTGATAATCATGGTTGTGGTCACCCGTCTCTGTGTCCAGATCCTGCTGTGCAAATACTTCTTAACTGTTGTAGAAGCTCTCTTATCGTGGAAATGCAGACATCTTTTATAAAACACAATTCGCTATAGGTGAGCACATATACAGAATCCACTCGACCAAATAGCCAAGATTCCGGGAACATTCCCTTGGTGTAAAAGAAGACTTACCTGGATGGGAAACTGAAAATAGGTACTCACACCAGGCTTTCGCGAAAAGGATAAAAGGATATGCATGTCCTGCCTTACCAGTAGCACCCATCATTCATGGTCACACAAAACAACACGCATATGTTTGCTGTCGGCAGCCACACCACACACCATGTATACAAACAACTGATGGACGAGAATTTCATAAACAGGATTCATGTTATGGATACATAATTCCCCTCTCGGTTGAATGGATGAATCGCTTTACTTATGACAATATTTTCATGGATTTTGTTTTGAGATACTTTGATAATTCAAGGATTTGATCAAGATGATTAGATCCACTGTACATGACTGTTTTTGTCTTGGTTAGAGCTGTGACGACAAATCGTAGTATCGATAATCGTGATACTTTATCTGACGATACATATATCGATACTTTTTCGTATCGTGATATGTATCGTTGACGTTAGAATTACTACTTTTCACTAGAAATTGACGAGTATATCAAAATTTACACAGTTACTTGCTATCAAAACATAAAGATAGCATATCGTGATATGCATCTAATCGAATCGAATCGAATCGTATCGTTCCAAGATATCGCAATACGTATCGTATCGTGAAATGTCTGTATCGTTACACCTCCAATCCTTCCTTGATATCACCAGGAAGGACAGTCAAAAGTGACACTTCTTTACTACAAAATGGTGTACAGTACCATGAACATGTGTTGAGATTTGAATAATGTTTGATGTCTCACTCAACAATATTCAAGCTATATGGCGGGGGGTCTGTAAATAATCGAGTCTGGACCAGACAATCCAGTGATCAAAAACATGAGCATCGATCTACGCAGATGGGAGGCGATGACATGCGTCAGCAAGACAGTGAGCCTGACCACCCGATCCCATTAGTCGCCCTTTACGACAAGCATGGGTTACTGAAGATGAATTCTAACCCGGATCTTCACGGGTATCTTTGGAACATTGCGAGAACATATTTACTCACATGCCGTGTTTCTCAGTGTGTCGTAGTGAGCCGCGATACCGAACACCCTGTCATCACTGGTGTTGAACATCGCACCCCTAAGAATGCCGATAACATTGACAGCAGCCACCGTCATAAACAGGCATCAAGTTGCGTGAATGTACTAAGATAAACTCTAACCCGGATCCGCAAGAGTCCTTGCATAAGATGTCAGTGGAGTTATAAAAGAGGGGAAAACTTTGTAGCGATTTTGCGTAGATACAGGATTCGTTAACAACAATGATATTTTATTATACTGTATTTACTTCAGCGAGCTACCGAGGATATATGCAGTCATGCTACCATCAACAATGTGACGATATGAGTCGTGTTACCAACAACATGATTTTGTCAGTTGTCAAGACAGCACGTGCACTCGTAGCAACCGGAAACAAGATGGCGCCTGCACTTCCTGTCACGTCCACAACTGCATCTCCTGGACCAACAGGATCCGGTAATTCACTAATTTAATATGCTGATTGTTTATTAACTATTAAGAAGCAACTAACCTGCACATTACAACCTACATATGTTTGTCAACCTAAATGGATCTGCCCACCGTACTACTTACCTTCCTAAGTTCTCCTGGTTCTCCTGTACCACTCAGTCTTAAAAGTGTATTATAACTTAACAAGTCGGAGAGAGTGATATAGATATAAAATGACCCATGGAAATTCACTAGCCAGTCGGGCCAGTGACTATGGGGATTTACCGGCCCGAATGGATTTTTACTAGCCACGGGCTTGCGGGCCAGCGGCTATTTAGCACACTGCTCTCAACCAATATCCCACCTACCATCCCTACCACCCGCCATCCTCCCTCCTAACCCCTAACCACAAACCTTAACCTTTTGAGAAGCTTTCTTCACATTTTGAAACTTTTATTCACATATCTGTGTTTCAGGCGAGCGCTTGGGGATTTCCAATATTCTGGGGCTTGTTCTGATGCTCTCGGTATTGATCCACGTGTAGGAACATCAACTGATCTTCATTACGTTATGATGCAACAAGGGCAACAAGGGCAACCCCACCGCCCTCAGAAGCTGGTTTATTTCGATTATTTACACACGCTGTCATTGCGGCGTTTAACAACAATCAACCAATGTTGACAGATAGATCCTTTCCCCTTTAATTAATTGACACCATTGTGGGTTCGAATCCCCGATTCTATCTAAATATGATCCTTATTTTGTTTATCATAATCGTAAAATTTCCATTGAACGACTACATAAAATAAAAAGCTTCACAGAAATGTTTGGTTTTTTGTTCAAAAGCGCAATGGTCAGAGAAAACAGTTATGCATTTAGCAAAAAGCGCTTTACACTGCGTACACGGTTAATTAAATTCCATTTCAAACCTTTCAGAGTGGCCCTTCCGATATTTACAAAAACGTTCATCCAACTGTCGCACGCTACAGATAAGAGGCAGTGACCTTTCCCAGTACAACGTGTCAGTCAGTCTCACTCCGGCTGATGAACGTCGACAGGTCGAGTGACCTCGAGTTCGGCACACGGGGATTGCAGACACTGCACAAATTTCAAGCTTTTATTTATTAGATGGTTTGAGAAATTGTTCTCTGAAAATTTGAAGTTAATGGGAAAGAGAAAGAAGAGCTGTTCCAATGTAATATATTGCTGCGCATGTAGGCATTAAACTGCACAATTCAATGCCACCACGGTCTCATCATATATTTAATTATGTTGTTTAAAGCCGTACTCAGCAATATTCCAGCGATATAGCAGGATCATAGATTTGATATATTAGTTTTTTATTTTGCTTCGGATTGTTTAAGAATGAGTGAGTGAGCACAGTTTTACGCCGTTTTAGCATTATTCCAGCAACATCACGGCGGGAGACCACAGAAATGGGCTTCACACTCTGTAACCATGTAAGGAGTCGAACCCACGTCTTCGGCGTAACGAGCGAACGCCTTAACCACTGGGCTACCCAATCGCCCCAGGTCATTTATGAAAACAGCGAGTGGTATATATTCCAGGCATTCTGTGTAAAATTAGACATGAAGTCAACATCGCTTGTTCAGCAGTCTTATTCAAACGGAATTAAGCATTTTGGCACAATACAAATAACAAAAAATGAAACAAAATTACTAAAACATATAACGATAAATAGTGACTCAGAAGTTTTCAAAGTGAGAGACTAGTGCTTATATAATACCATATCAGCAATATTTCAACTGTTCGCTATGAGCATTTTGAAAGCCGTGTGCTACATTGGCTCTCACAGTGTTTGCTCGTTGGAGTTCACAATAATGATGCAATAAAGAAACGTGTTATGCGCAGGGAATATTATGCAACTACGACTCTCGTCATGAGTCGCGAATATCAAATATCAAATACTTTGACAGAATGGGCTACCTGCCACCTGCCATGCAAACACGCTTGTCACTGATCATGAGCAGATAGTCTGTGTCAGTATACAGCTTGGTTCCTAAAGGTATAACAATTTCAAGATGATTTGCTGTCAGTCAAGTTGTGTCCCCCGCCAGATGGTCATTCGTATGTTCAAATAAAATTCTGCTTTTGAGACAAAGCTAAACCATATAAAGTCACCATTTTTCAACTATTAAAACAAGAAAAACTGTTGTAGAGTGTGCAAAATTGTAAAAGAATCAATCCTAAGATTTCAGTCCTTTAAAACATTTTCTGCTGATTTCCATTGCTGAAAACAAGAACATCGTGTCTTTGATATTGTGAAGAGTGTTTAGGAACATCTAAAATTATCTTTGTGAACATTTATGCTTGCAACATTTTTCCATTTTCTGTTCACACATAGCTATATAAATCGCCAAAACGCAGCAATATTCAAGCAGTATTTGCATTTATTTCACGTGTAGAATGATTCTATAGGGTATAAAGAGAGACTCGAATGCATGATATGATACACAAGTACCAGAAGTAAGTCGCGATTGACATCTGAAGAGCGAGAAATAGTGATTTGGATGGTGCAGATAGGGTCGAAATACAATGCTGTTGCCAACGCCCTCGGATGCCACCGTATCACGGTTATAAGACTTATTCAGCGCTAAAAACAGACTGAGGTCACCGTAGACAGACCAAGAAGTGGACGTCCACGCATCACAGCGCCAGCTGAGGATAGGTACCTCCGTCATTAAGGAAGGAGGGAACGTTTCTTTTGGCGTTTTGTGTATTCATGTGTATACATATGTTTCCACAATGTTAAGCTTCTATTACAAATTGTCATCCCCATTATTTAACAGTATATGTGTAACTGTATTTAGGGAGAAGCCGACCATAAATGGTGCACTTGTGCCAAATTCCTGTGTCTATCGTTGGCCAGTAAAATATGTTTAAAACTAGGACTGACTGACTGAGTTTAGTTTTACGCCGCTTTTAGCAATATTCCAGCAATATCACGGCGGGGGACACCAGAAATGGGCTTCACACATTGTGCCCATTAAAACTAGGACTGCACGGTATTACCGGTATAGCGGTATATCGCAATACGCTTTTCAAACGATACGTATTATAATATTGTTTTTGAGAAACGCTATATTGAACAAAGAACACACATGAACTTTTTTGTGATTAACTTTATGGTTTAAATTAAAATCTACTCACTTTCATCCACAATAAAACGGCATACTGTAATGCAGTAAATTGTATAAAAAGAAAATAGAACCCATGACTATGCAACCTAATTTTGAGATTGATGTTATCAGAAACATGACATGTATGTTAAGGGACTAATAATGTGGGAAAATAGGATCGACATTAAGCGCATTAGTGTCAATTACTGTCAAACACTTGAGTTCCCAATTTATCGCAGTACCTATCGCAATACGGGTACCTGAATCGCAATACAGTGCAATACAATTTATGTGCCAATACACAGCCCTATTTAAAACAATGATGAATTAGGAAAACCATTATTTACTTCAGTGACTGAGTGAGTGAGTTAGTTTTACGCCGCTTTCAGCAAATATTCCAGCAATATCACGGCGGGGGACACCAGAAATGGGCTTCACACATTGTACCCATGTGTGGAAATGAACCCGGGTCTTCAGCTTGACGAGCAAACGCTTTTACCACTAGGCTACCCCACTGCTTCTTATGTACTTCAGTGTATACGGTCATGTATGCATATAATAACACATCTTATCTGGTGAACTTATATAATCCTTTTCTTTTGAGACGACCCCTCTTTATCCAATAAAACCAGACTAATATGCATAACTAGTGTGTAGAAACACTTGCGCGGCGTCCCCTTGGATTTGTTTGTATTGTTGTTTAACGCTGTATTCAGCAATACAACATCTATGACCGCGAACTAGTCAGATCTACGCAGTTGGGAGACGATGACATGCACAGCTAGCCTGACCACCCGATCCTGCCAGGCGCCTCTCATAAAAGCATAAACCTTTCTCACGACCTTCATAGTCTCTTCTTACAAGCGTCACGTGGATTGCTGAATCAATTCTAACCTGCATCTTTGAGTCTGCATTAACGCGGGATATTGTCTGATATAAGAGACAGTTTTTGCACAGGCTTCTATCTCGATGTTTTAACACGTGTGGTTCATATAAAACATTCGTGACAGGATCAGCCTTGAGAAAATCTTCAAATGAATCCTTTCCTGGGTAAACGAGCGTTTTAAAGGGGAAAATGCGCTGTAAGTATTTTAAACGAAAAATAAAAAAGACCGTACTTTAGGAACCAAGCTGTATACTGACACAGACTATTTGCTCATGATCAGTGACAAGTGTGTTTGCATGGCAGGTGACAGGTAGCCCATTCTGTCAAAGTATTTGATATTTGATATTTGCAACTCTTGACGAGAGTCGTAGTTGCATAATGTTATTGTGAACTCCAACGAGCAAACACTGTGAGAGCCAATGTAGCACACGGCGTTCAAAACGCTCATAGCGAACAGTTACAAAATTGCTGATGGTATTAAGCGCTAGTCTCTCACTTTGAAAACTTCTGAGTCACTATTTATCGTTATATGTTTTAGTAATTTTGTTTCATTTTTTGTTATTTGTATTGTGCCAAAATGCTTAATTCCGTTTGAATAAGTCTGCTGAACGAGCGATGTTGACTTCATGTCTAATTTTACACAGAATGCCTGGGAATATATACCACTCGCTGTTTTCATACATGACCTGGGGCGATTGGGTAGCCCAGTGGTTAAGGCGTTCGCTCGTTACGCCGAAGACGTGGGTTCGACTCCTTACATGGGTACAGAGTGTGAAGCCCATTTCTGTAGTCTCCCGCCGTGATGTTGCTGGAATAATGCTAAAACGGCGTAAAACTGTGCTCGCTCACTCATTCATAAACAATCCGAAGCAAAATAAAAAACTAATATATCAAATCTATGATCCTGCTATATCGCTGAAATATTGCTGAGTACGGCTTTAAACAACATATAATTAAATCTATGATGAGACCGTGGTGGCATTGAATTGTGCAGTTTAATGCCTACATGCGCAGCAATATATTACATTGGAACAGCTCTTCTTTCTCTTTCCAATTAACTTCAAATTTTCAGAGAACAATTTCTCAAACAATCTAAAAAATAAAAGCTTTGTGCAGTGTCTGCAATCCCCGTGTGCCGAACTCGAGGTCACTCGACCTGTCGACGTTCATCAGCCGGAGTGAGACTGACTGACACGTTGTACTGGGAAAGGTCACTGCCCTTTATCTGTAGCGTGCGATAGTTGGATGAACGTTTTTGTAAATATCGGAAGGGCCACTCTGAAAGATTTGAAATGGAATTTATTTAAAAGTGTACGCAGTGTAAAGCGCTTTTTGCTAAATGCATAACTGTTTTCTCTGACCATTGCGCTTTTGAACAAAAAAACAAACATTTCTGTGAAGCTTTTTATTTTATGCAGTCGTTCAATGGAAATTTTACGATTACGATAAACATAGCTGCCTTCCAGTTACAGTTTTATGAAAGCTAAAACAATGTTAAAAAGACAAAAAACTAAATAAGGATCATAATCAGATAGAATCGGGGATTCGAACCCTCAATGGTGTCAATTAATCAAAGGGACAGGATCTATCTGTCAACATTGGTTGATTGTTGTTTAACGCCGCAATGACAGCGGGTGTAAATAATAGAAATGGACCAGACAGCCCAGCGATATCATGAGCGCCGATCTAAGCTTTTGGGGGCGGTGGGGTTGCCCTTGTTGCATCATAACGTAATGAAGATCAGTTGATGTTCCTACACGTTGATCAATACTGAGAGCATCAGAACAAGCCCCAGAATATTGGAAATCCCCAAGCGTTCGCCTGAAACACAGATATGTGAATATAAGTTTCAAAATGTGAAGAAAGTTTCTCAAAAGGTTAAGGTTTGTGGTTGGGGTAGGAGGGAGTATGGCGAGTAGTAGGGATGGTAGGTGGGATATTGGTTGAGAACAGTGTGCTAAATAGCCGCTGGCCCGCAAGCCCGTGGCTAGTAAAAATCCAGTCGGGCCAGTAAATCCCCATAGTCACTGGCCCGACTGGCTAGTGAATTTCCATGGGTCATTTTATATCTATATCACTCTCTCCGACTTGTTAAGTCATAATACACTTTTAAGACTGAGTGGTACAGGAGAACCAGGAGAACGTAGGAAGGTAAGTAGTACGGTGGGCAGATCCATTTAGGTTGACAAACATATGTAGGTTGTAATGTGCAGGTTAGTTGCTTCTTAATAGTTAATAAACAATCAGCATATTAAATTAGTGAATTACCGGATCCTGTTGGTCCAGGAGATGCAGTTGTGGAAGTGACAGGAAGTGCAGGCGCCATCTTGTTTCCGGTTGCTACGAGTGCACGAGCTGTCTTGACAACTGACAAAATCATGCCGTTGGTAACACGACTCATATCGTCACATTGTTGATGGTAGCATGTCTGCATATATCCTCGGTAGCTCGCTGAAGTAAATACAGTATCATAAAATATCAATGTTGTAAACGAATCCTGTATCTACGCAAAATCGCTACAAAGTTTTCCCCTCTTTTATAACTCCACTGATATCTTATCCAAGGATTCTTGAATATCCGGGTTAGAATTTATCTTTGTACATTCACGCAACTTTGATGCCTGTTTATGACGTTGGCTGCTGTCAATGTTATCGGCGTTCTGAGGGGTGCGATGTTCAACACCAGTGTACGACACCAGTGATGACAGGGTGTTCGGTATCGCGGCTCACTACGACACAATGAGAAACACGGCAGGTGAGTAAGTATGTTCTCGCAATGTTCCAAAGAGACCCGTGAAGATCCGGGTTAGAATTCATCTTCAGTAACCCATGCTTGTCGTAAAGGGCGACTAATGGGATCGGGTGGTCAGGTTTACTGTCTTGCTGACGCATGTCATCAGCCTCCCATATGCGTAGATCGATGCTCATGTTTTTGATCACTGGATTGTCTGGTCCAGACTCGATTATTTACAGACCCCCCGCCATATACCTTGAATATTGTTGAGTCAGACATCAAACATTATTCAAATCTCAACACATGTTCATGGTACTGTACACCATTTTGTGGTAAACAAGTGTCACTTTTGGCTGTCCTTCCTGGTGATATCAACCAAGACTAGAGGTGTGACGAAACAGACATTTCACGATACGATACGTATCGCGATATCTTGGAACGATGCGATTCGATTCGATTAGATGCATATCACGATATGCTATCTTTATGTTTTGATAGCAAGTTACTGTGTAAATTTTGATATACTCGTCAATTTCGAGTGAAAAGTAGTAATTCTAACGTCAACGATACATATCACGATACGAAAAAAGTATCGATATATGTATCGTCAGATAAAGTATCACGATTATCGATACTACGATTTGTCGTCACAGCTCTAACCAAGACAATAACAGTCATGTACAGTGGATCTAATCACCTTGATCAAATCCTTGAATTATCAAAGTATCTCAAGACAAAATCCATGAAAATATTGTCATAAGTAAAGCGATTCATCCATTCAACCGAGAGGGGAATTATGTATCCATAACATGCATCCTGTTTATGAAATTCTGGTCCATCAGTTGTTTGTATACATGGTGTGTGGTGTAGCTGCCGACAGCAAACATATGCGTGTTGTTTTGTGTGACCATGAATGATGGGTGCTACTGGTAAGGCAGGACATGCATATCCTTTTATTCTTTTCGCGAAAGCCTGGTGTGAATATCTATTTTCAGTTTCTCATCCAGGTACACCCAAGAGAATGTTCCCGGAGTCTTGGCTATTTGGTCGAGTGGATTCTGTATATGTGCTCTTCTATAGCAAATTGTGTTTTATAAAAGATGTCTGCATTTCCACGATAAGAGAGCTTCTACAACAGTTAAGGAGTATTTGCACAGCAGGATCTGGACACAGAGACGGGTGACCACAACCATAATTATCAAAATGTTCATTTTTCATGAAAAAAGGTTCTAACGTGGCATCTGTCCATCGGCACCCATTACTTACCCGTATCTGTCAGAAAAATTGCCTTTATTCCCTTTTTCCAAAACTGCGCATGGTCACTACGGAGAGCATCCCCGTAAAAAGAGGCTTCCACAGCCGAGAGTGTCTGCCCCGTTAAAGTTTTAATGTCCAAAACCTCCAGTTCAAACTTGGCATCGCCAGACTGGTTGAATGCCTCTTGGAATACCCGAGCCAAGGAAGCATCGTAGGCGCGTGTGATGCAAGCCAGAAAGTCCCCCTGACGGTCGTCAGAATTGATGCTCTCGATGGCTTCAGGAAACAGCTGTAAAGAAGGAATGCTGCTATTGTAAGTTCTGTAAGGTCATGATGAAACTGTGATTACACAATGCCAGTAAGAAAGTGGTCAAATGTAACATATGTTATATTTGGGATTACACTTTCTTAGCAAAGTACAAATTCTAGTACTTTTTTTGGGATGAGTTCCATCCGGGACTTTGAACCCACACCTTCAGATTCAGGCACCTAATCGCCAGTCGCCGTGGCTGAGTGGGTTTGGCGGCTGACTTTATGTGCTGGCGAATAGGTTGCTGACGCTAAGGGTGTGGGTTCGAATCCCGGATGGGACTCAACCCAATAAAAGCATTTGTCAGGAATATTCAAGATATATATATAACGTCGGTCTGTTAATAATCGTGTATGGATCAGACAGTCCAGTGATCAAAAGCATGAGCATCCATTGTTTGTTGTTTAACGCTGCATTCAGCAATATTTCAGCTATAGCTCGGCGGTCTGTAAATAATAGAGTAAGGACCAGGGTCTCCTTTCACACAGCACTATGGTGATCGTAAGTCACAAAGGTAACCTTTGTGCAATAGTGCAATATTAAAGAATGGGAATTAAGGTTAAGCTTAGTAAAGGATGCTTCGTGAAAGGAGTCCCAGATAGTCCAGTGATCAACAGCATGAGCTTTGATCTACGCAATTGGGATACGATGACATGTGTAGATCAAATCAACGAGCGTAACCACCCGATCCCGTTAGTCACTCGTGCGACCATTATGGGTTGCTGAAGACCAGTTCTAACCCGGATCTTTCCGGTCATGAGGAACTGAACCTCATTTATTGAGTGAGTTGACCAGTGGAGTGGTTGGTGTAGTCGCGGCATAAAGTACCTGATGTAGTTGCAGATATTAGACCTTTACCTGTGTTAAACCATGAGCATGTGTACCGTGTTGACAAACAGTAGGCAAAATCAGGCGACCGGAGTTCGAACACACAATAACATGTTTCTGGCCTGCTTAAATTCTGTTCTCACCGTTACAAGAGGTCCAGGGAGTATCTGAGACTCCACGGTCTCGTTGAAGTTCATGATAGTGTCCATAACGATGAAGCCGGCAAAGTCGGGGGTTGTGTTCCAGTAGGTAGGGATCCAGTCTCGTATGAAGGCATCACTTCCGCATCCAATAAAGGTACATGCCTTGTCAGCATCTGATGTATACAAATATGAATGGAGCTGTAAGTCAGCTTAAATATATGGTTTGTGATGAAGGAAAGTCTTCTGCGGCTGTGGGTCTAATGAAATTTGTGAAATATATCAATACTGCCATGTTTCAGCCAGACAATGCGGGCCTCAATATAGCATTACCATGATGCTTCAGCCGTTGTGACCTCTCTGTCACACAACTGCAGTGTTTCAGTCAGAAAGTGTGTGGTCTGCATTTAACAAAACCACAATGTTTCAGTCAGACAGTGTGGGGTCTGCATTTAACAAAACCACAATGTTTCAGTCAGACAGTGTGGGGTCTGCATTTAACAAAACCACAATGTTTCAGTCAGACAGTGTGGGGTCTGCATATACGCCAAAACCACAATGTTTGTGACCTCTATAATCAGACAGATGCAATATTGCATAGACAATAATAAATGTACAATGTTTTCAGCTCGTTGGAACTCTATATCACACAACTGCAATGTTTCAGACAGTAAGGGGCCTCAATAAAACAATAACACAATGTTTCAGCTGGTTGGAACTCTATATCACACAACTGCAATGTTTCAGACAGCCAGTAAGGGGCCTCAAATAAAACAATAACACAATGTTTCAGTTGGTTGGAACTCTATATCACACAACTGCAATGTTTCAGCCAGCCAGTAAGGGGCCTCAATATAACAATAACACAATGTTTCAGCTAGCTGGACCTCTAAATCACACAACTGCAATTTTTAAGCCAGTTCAATTAACGAGGTCTCAATGTAAATATAACAATAAAACATTTTTTCAGCTGGTTGGAACTCTATATCACACAACTGCAATGTTTCAGACAGACAGTAAGGGGCCCCAATATACCAAAACCACAATGTTTCATCTTTGTGACCTCTTCACCACACAACTGCAATGTTTCAGCCAGATAGCGGGGCCTCTATATAACAAAACCACAATGTTTCAGCTGGTTGGACCTCGATATCAACGTGTTTCAACACTATAACCAACGTTTTAGTCCAAACAGTGTGTGGCATCTCTATATATCGCGGCTATATAATGTATGGTATGTGGCTTCTTATACACATGATATATGACAAACCCGTCAGCTTGATAGCAACTTAACTAACACATCAGAGACACATTGTGTGACACTGCTACAATGTGTCAGCCAGACAAGGTATGGTGAGTGTGTGAGTTTAGTTTTACGCTGCATTCAGTATAATCGAGTCTGGACCAGACAATCCAGTGATCAACAGCATGAGCATGGATCTGCGCAATTGGGAACCGATGACATGTGTCAACCAAGTCATCGAGCCTGACCACCCGATCCCGTTAGTCGCCTCTTACGACAAGCATGGGTTACTGAAGGTTCATTCTAACCAGGACCTTCACTGGTTGACAAGGTATGGGGCTTCTTATACACATGATATATGACAAACCTGTCAGCTTGATAGCAATTTAACTAACACATCAAAGACACATTGTGTGACATTGCTACAATGTATCAGCCAGAGAAAGTGTTGGGTGTTATAACGCGCAAACTACATTTGAGCCACACAAGGTGTTGGACCTCTATTTCAATGTTTCAAGGTATTGTAGCGTTTTTCACAGGGTACTCACCAACTTCCCATTCCTCCAGGTCAAACGCGACAAACATGAGGGTATAGTTCCTTTGACTTGTCGACAAAGCTTTAGCAGCACTTAGCAATGCCGCCATTGAACTTCCGTTGTCATCGACACCTGGTAAAATAACAGAAGAAACCAATGTAATAGACGCAATGTATTGTGGGTAGTGTATTCCAATCTTACTACTACTACTACTACTACTACTACTACTACTACTACTACTACTACTACTACTACTACTACTACTACTACTACTACTACTAAGGAATTCCACAGCTATCTTAAGCGTGCCAAGGTTGTTGGACAAAATCTGAAACTTGAGGTTGATTTTGTCCTTCACCAAATCTGCCCAGTGTCGGTCCTTTGAGGAGAAGCTTTCTGTAAAGCCATTGCATCGTGTGTACATGCAGTGCGTGAAACAGAATAGCAATCCCTCCTTCGCCTGGATGAAGTCGGCTGGTCTCAAATGTGAAACTGAGGGCTTCCTTTTTGCTGCTCAGGACCAGTCACTTCCCACTCGTAATCGCCAAAATGTGATTCTTAAAGAAAATATCAATATGAAATGCCGACTTTGCAATGTATTTACAGAGACTGTCCAACACCTTGCCCTTCCTTGGCACAAACAGCATATCTGAAAAGACATGATGGCATGGCTCGTTGCTTTTACTATCGCCTCCGCCATGCATGTGGCTTTGACTCCGAGGACCATCCATGGTACGACCCTGAACATGTCTAGGGCGTCATGGAATATGATGCTTTTAAACTTCTGTGGAATAGGCCTTTATACAGCCTCAGAAGAATTTCAGCCAACAAACCTGACCTTGTCCTTTTTGATAAAGCCAATGAATTTATTTGTATTATTGAATTTTCTGTCCCTTTTGACAGCAATGTGACTGGCAAGATTCAGGAAAAGAATACTAATATATGCGGACCTCGCCTTGAAATGTCTCGCGTGCATCCCAAGTACACTGTCGTCAGACTCCCCATTGTTCTCGGTGCCCTTGGTTTGGTACCTCCTGATCTCTTGGTGGAGACCAGGAGAGTGCCCGGGTTCTCCACCGGGAGCACAGCCCTTCTGACCCTCTGGGTAATGCAGAAGGCTGCAGTGTTGGGTAGTCTACATATTCTCCGGAAAGTTCTTGGAGAGAGTTACTGTTTGTATCGGCTGAAAAGGTGTATATTGAAGTTACGCTTGAACACTTGAAGAGATGGAATTGTACGTAGTTTAAGCGGAAGTGAGTTCCATAGTGTGGTTGCAGCTGAAGCAAAAGAGCGGGCACCAAATGTCTTGAGGTTGAATGGTGGAGGATTCAGCAGGTGTTGGTTACTGGATCTGAGGGCACGAGCAGGAGTGTATGGTGTGAGAAGATCACACTTGTATGAGGGAGCCATGGAGCTAACACACTGGAAAGCGAGAGTGAGTACCTTGAAATCAATTCTTTCATGGATCCGTAACCAGTGCAAGGAATCCAGAACGAAATGTACATCACAGGAGGGCTTAGAATGGGTAACAAGACGGGCAGCTTTACTTTGGAGAGATTGCAGGCGCTTTATCTGGGTTTTGGAGGCACGTGTAAGCAGACTGTTGCAATAATCTTGGCAGAATGAGAATCTTACTGATTGCATGTTGTTTTATGTCGCATTCAGCACAATTTCAGCTGTACATAAATAACAAGTCTGGACCAGACATTGAGACAAATAGCACTGATCTACCAAGCTAGTGTGCAATTACATGCATCAACCAAATCAAAGAGTCTGATCACCCCATCTTGAAGGTCGCCTCTTGCGACAAACATGTGTTTTAGGAAGACTGCGTCTTATTCACAATGGTTCCTATAAAAAAAGGTTTGTTTGTTTGTTATAACAGAGATCTGTAAACAATCGAGTGTGGACCAGACAGTCCACTGATCAACAGCATGAACATCGATCCATACCATTGGGATCCGATGACATGTATCAACAAAGTCAGCGAGCCTGACCACCTGATCCCGTTAGTCGCCTCTTACGACAAGCATGGGTTGCTGAAGTCCAGTTATAACCCTGGATCCTCACGGGCACCAATAATCAGGGCGAGACAGGGCCCGAATATACGATAACATTACTGAAGATCAATTCTAACCCGGATCTTCACGGGTCTCTTTGGAACATTGCGAGAACATATTTACTCACCTGATGTGTTTCTCATTGTGTCGTAGTGAGCCGCGATACCGAACACCCTGTCATCACTGGTGTTGAACATCGCACCCCTCAGAATGCCGATAACATTGACAGCAGCCACCTTCATAAACAGGCATCAAAGGTGCGTGAATAAACAGAAACTAACTCCGATATCAACAGTATTTTCATTCTAATGTGTCAGTTTAATTTAAGAGGAAAAGATGAAACGTTTACCACTTGGTGAGATCATGGACACGTATATGGGTCTCACATAATGTTAATCAGGGTATACATAGGATTCGAACCCAAGACCAGCGGCCATCCTTGCATTTCGGAAGGCGGTGGGTGGTGGTGAACGCTGCTCTTCGCAACGCCTTAAAACAGTTTATCATAAAAATTACCAAAAACCTTTCAAAATTTAACCCAAATATAATGCTTGAAATTTCAGCACCGCACCTGCTCTCGTGAAATGGAATGCCAGCCCGAATTAAAACAACTGAGATCCCTCACATCTCGTAGTTGAAGAGACAGGTTGCCCTGAGTTTAAAATCTTATGAATTATGTTGTTGAAGTCAGGACTCAGCACTGCGAATTATGTAGTATAAAGAAACTAGTGGTTGATAGCAAACAACAAATAAACAAACAAACAAACAAAATAAATAAACAAACAGCCAGGTCACACATTTCCACCTCGCTTCGTTGTTTTAAGGCACAAAGAATTGGGCTCATATGGTATTGCAGATCAAAATTTAATCGTGACATTAATTACGACATTGCTCTTTATTGCCAGATATATTCAGGACTGAGGGTGTAAACAGGGAAAGGAAATGTGCATATATCATAACTCATTTACATATTACCTGGTTTTCACCTGTAAAGGAATGCTCGTGCATTTCTAGGCCATAATTCCTGAATTCCGTTGAAATAAACTCTTTGGTTTTGAGTTTATAATCTGGATTGGTCACGTGATGCCTGGCCTCTGAAAAATGTTCTTGAAGAGTTGTCCGAACAAATGTGGCGTCACCAGCCACTATCGGGACGGCGAGAGTGACTGAAAATGGAGACGGGAATGTATTATTACATTGTTATATAATTGAAGACGTGAATAAGTCCTCAGAAAATAATGATAGGCTCAGGAGTCCACGACACGCAGCTTTTCCTACAGAGTTGCTTCCAGGAGATGTGCCTGGATCCTGTGATTAATAGTGAGTGAGTTTAGTTTTACGCCTCTTTTAACAATATTCCAGCAATATCATGGCAGGGGACACCAAAATTGGGCTTCACACATTGTACCCATGTGGGGAATAGAACCCGGGTCTTCGGCGTGACGAGCGAACGCTTTAACCAGTAGGCTACCCTACCGCCCCCTGTGATTAGCAAGTCACAAATATTTTGATGATCGGTGAATCACTGTGTAGCGGGGCGTGGCGGGGCATGCTGACGGGGTTAAACTCTTTGGTCATGTGGACAAGAAGGTTCGTGGATTAGAAGGTTCGTGGTTCGAATCCCAGTACGGGACTCGGAAATTTTATGGCCGCTACATGGGCGCCCAACGTTGGGCTGAGCACGTACATATCGAATTTGAGCAAAATAATTCTCAGTTCCCATCTATGCGGCTCGGGACGTGCCTTCTGTTGACGGGTGAGTATGTAGCAGGGCGTGGAGTCATCCCACAGATGACATCCTTACCTTTTCAGCTTGCTGACGAGGTTAACCTCTTTGGTCATGTGGACAAGGCGTCCGACTTCGGATTAGAAAGTTCGTGGTTCGAATCCCAGCACGGGACTCGGAAATGTTATGGCCGAACAACTGCATTCCTGTTCATCCGCGATAACAGTCCCGTCTTATGTTTGTGTGTTGTCAAACGCAGCGCACAGCAATTTTCCAGCTCTAGCGGCGTTCTGTACAAAATCGAGTCTAAACCAGACAGCCCAGCCTAATAACTGATAAACGAAATGTACCCTAAGCAAAGTCAATATACAAAACCGTACCCGGTACCCTACACTGCGGACGAGTCAATATTCCGCAACCCAAAACCGAAACCGTATTTAGTACTTCCCGTTCAGCCGATTGTGAATGTTATTGTGCATCATGAAATATTCGTTACTGTGTATGATCGTTTCCTATATAACGCAATCAAATGCATCTAATACAACAGTATGACAATTCCGATCAAGAAAACGACACATTGCGGAATGGAATTGCCCTTGGGTACGTTTCTGTATTCTGAGTTTGGCTGCGTACAGAAACGTACCTGGGGTACACGTCTGTAGTACCCGTGTCGACAACGACCCTTTCAGCCCTAATATCGTAGGCACTATGGCGGGATATGGGTTTTAACAGAGAGTTTAGACATGTCTGTATATTCCCTGAGTTAAGTTATCTAAATCTTCACAGGGCTGTTAATATAAATGAAACCCCAGCAGGTTATCATCATGACCATCAGCACAGCCATGTACAGGTCAGCTGCTAGACTTGCACAAGTCTCTAAGGTAAAAATTAATCGTTTAAATGATAATTTCTAAATGACAATAAATAACAGACTGGGTCCGTACTGTCCGCCTATCCAGACTTGCCTCTTCGAAGGATAGAATTACTATTCATCCATGGGCTCAGCATTCAGTACAGCCTTGTAGCAAGGCTAGCCAGCTGCGCGTACTTAACTTCAGAATATGGCCGATTAGCCACGGAAATTTACGATTGTGAGATGCCGGATACTGCAGGTCGGAGATCATTCACCGATATATAGTCTGTGCAGGCTGACCAAAACATAATACGATACAGGGCTACCTGTCAGTCAGTATATACGTTGGATTCTTGTTGTTAGAAAACTTGACCCTCGGTCAGCGGCTAGACTGACCATTGCCTCTATGGTGTCTGGCCGTAGCTGCACAATCATGTAATTGTATATTTAGACGCCGAATAAAGTGTTGTGCACCCACTGATGGACTTGGTTGAAGAGGTACATATCCAAACAATAACATCCCGGGATACTAACAACAGCTGACAACAGACAGGAACGCTAACAACAGTAATAACAGTCCATCAAAACTGTTAAATGAACGGACAAGTGAAAACTGAATTTATAGCCGATAACGGACCATATAACCAATAATTAAGTGTGAGGGGGTGAGTTTAGTTTTACGCCACACTCAGCAATATTCCAGCTATATGGCGGGGGGTCTGTAAATAATCGAGTCTGCACCAAACAATCCAGTGATCAACAGCATGAGCATCGATCTATACAATTGGGATACGGTGATATGTGTCAACAAAGTCAGCGAGCCTGACCACCCGATCCCGTTAGTCGCCTCTTACGACAAGCGTTGGTTGATGAAGAGCAATTCTGACCCGGATCTTCACGGGATGCATAACCAATGAACGTGCAACACCAGCGATAACTTAAAAAATAAACTGAGGACCAGAGTGTAGCCTAGTGGTCAAAGCGTTCGCTCGTCACGCCGAAGGCCCGGGTTCGATTCCTTACACCGGTACAAAGTGTTAACCCCATTTCTGGTGTACCCCGCCGTGAAATTGCTGGAATGTTGCTAAAAGCGGCGTAAAACATACTCACTCACTCATCGCACACGTCAATAATTTATCAGCAGGAAATATTAATGAAAACAGCAAGGTTTTACATGACGCGTTATTCCTAAGTATTCGACGCAACAATTTTGTAAACTACTCTCAAAATAGTATCATACGAGTCAAGCTTGAAGCAAGTTTTATGGGTGACCCTCACAACTCAGTTCAATAAAATCGATTTCATAAGCAAAGAATGATATTGTCAGATTGTTCCAGAGAACTCAGAGGAGACAGTAATCCTGGCTGCTGAACTGAACAATGCTGTAGTTTCATTTGGTGGTGTAACATACATTTACATACTGAGAATGATGAACACAAAGAAATATTTAACTTTTCGTGACTCCCAAATATTGAAAATGACTCCCAAAAATAAATATTGTGAGTCACCATGACTCCCATTTTTAAAAGTCTGTGTGAAACCCTGAAACACAGACATTATGTTGATCCACTTACTCACAATGCCTTGTTTATGTGGTGTATTTATATCTCAAGGCCAGGACTGAAACCTGTTATTGAGTTGTCATAACTATATTTTTCAGGTCCTATGCAATTCGTACCCACCATGACCTGAACTCAGATGAACTCTCAGCTTTAGATATGTAAATCCTCGACGTGTATGCAACAACTGACGTATGTGGACTGAGAAAAAATATAGCGTACTTTTCAACAGATTCCATACCAGTTAACACCTCGACCTCAGGGCGACACGCTCGGTATTCTCCCATCACACATCCACAATGTTAAACTTCCGTGGCCAACCGGCCATACTCTAAAGTTAATTAGGGTTAATTACACGCAGGCAGCTGACCTGTACATGGCTGTGCTGATGGTCATGATAATAAGCTGCTGATATTTCATTTATATTGTCAGCACTGTGATTTAGATTTAGATAACACAACTTTAACTAAACTCAGAGAATATACAAACATGTCTATATTTCCCGATAAAACCCATACCCCATCAAAGTGCCTACGACATACGCCCTTTCTGTGAAAAAGGACGTGCCCCGCGTCCTTATAAGCATTGTGAATGAGGTAGCGAATAAGTTACAAAATACATTAGATAAATTATATGTCTTCAATATGAAAAGTTATGATATTGTTTAAAACTGCCAAATTAACATCACATGTTAGTTGATGTGACAATAATTACACAAATTCCTCAGTAGTAGGGATAAGCTCTATAATAAACAGACATTGTTTAAAAAAACACACCCTGATAATCACAAAACTGAAAACATGATTTCAGCCGAGGTTTGCTGACAGGAATATCGACATAAGAATGACAATATTTGTTGAAAATTTGTATGGACAGGTAAAGATTTGTGTCGTGGAACCATTTTTTTCCTGTTTAACACAATAACATATATGACAGAATAATAAGCTCGTAGCACTGTATAACATAATACATGTACATTCAAGAAATTCAGGCAAAGGATTTCATGTTCAGGTGCACATTGTATCCTTTGCATGAATAACAAATTCCTAAATAGCCAAGCTTCCATGTAATATAAACATGAAACTCTTCTTTTATTAGAAGACACACACATACACATACACATACACATATACATACACGCACACGCACACACACACACATTCTCTCTCTCTATCACACACACACCTCAACATTTTGTATCATTCTAACATTAAAATAACAGTCAATTCTCTCTTTCACACACACATTCACACACACACACACACCAACATTTTGTATCATTTTCGCAATAAAATAAGTCAAATCCCCTCTCCCCCCCACACTCTCTCTCGCCCTCACACACGCGCGCAAATCTCTCTCTCTCTGTCTCTCTCTGTCTCTCTCTCTCTCTCACTCTCACACACACACACACACATACGCCATCACACACGTTCTCATCTACTCTCGTCACACCATTAAAAATACACTTTCAAGTCCTTAAGACATCATATCCATATTCCAGCTTATGGGCATAACATTCCCATAAAAAGCAAAGCATGGCAAATCAATCTCAGACATATTTTAAACACATCTTTCAACTCCAAACATTACTCAAACAACGGCCCATGATATTTACTCCAGTACATATTAGAAAGCGGTGGCCAGGAGGACAGACAATTACTTTGATGTAACATAGACACACAGGTGTATGCTGCGATTGAGAGCATACAGAACAGGGACATGAAACGGAACACATTTACAAAGAAGGTAATAAGTGGTGTCGGAAATAAGTTGAGGGAATGTGGAGGCGACACTCTGGGGACTGAGATGGTATAACCCACAGTGGATGCACATGTATGGGTGTCTGTGGGCATGATACACTGGGGATGGGATGGGAGGTGGTGGGACGGGGAAAACTGGGTGATGGCAGGGGAAGGGAGGGGTTGGGGGAATGCATTGCTGGGGGAGGGTTGAAAGTCATTAGTTTGCTTCTGCTGCTCTTCATGTAGTCTGTCCAGCTTAACTTTAATGGATGAGATGAGAGACATGATTCCCTCCATACCAGACATTTGATATGTGTCCTCTGCTACCTGGGCACTTTCTATCATATCGGACAAAGTGTCATGGCGTCTGGTGGCAATAAATTGAACGATATGAGGAAGGGAATTTCTGAAAATGAGGTCTTTTATGAATTGGTCATCGTTACATTTCAAAAGGGATGCCTCATGCCGAATTGATTGAAGAAATAATCGAAAGTCCTCATGCTCTTTTTGTTTCCTGTCGGTAAGGGCATTTTTACGATTTATAATTTGGATAGATGTGGGGCCATACCATTTGAGAAAAGATTGTTTGAGTTCGGGCCATGTCATATTGTCTTTACAGGGGAGTACTTCATACCAGATCAGAGCAGATTCCGATAAATATAAAGGAAAAACGTTAATGATTTCTTCATCAGCGAAATTTTGAATATTAACAAATTTCTGAAATCTGCTTAGCCAGGAAGATGCAGAGCGGGGATCATGTCCATCAAACAGTGGCATTGGGAGGTTTGTGCAACAGACACGGGGTGGGGGATGGCCAGCGGGACGGTCTGCCGGCGGGGAGGAACATTGAGGGGGAGAGCAACAACTGTTATTACAGTGGGGATGTTTAATGCGACATGGGTGATTACCGGGGCCAGAGGCGGTAGGCTGAGGGGAGGCTGATGGAGAGACTGAGCGAGTGGCGGTAGTTGTACGTTTAGATTTTCTGAGGACCCTCCAGGGAAAACAGGATGGACTGGAGGACCCGTCGTCAGATTTAGTAGATTTAAACGAATAGAGAGGCATTGTACTTTAAAGAATGAACTAAATGGTATAAACACTCAACCTGTAGGATACAATCGTGGAAAGCACAGAACAATTACAAATTCACAGAACAAAGCACAGTCCACTAAAAGTCACAATGTCAATGGCACATGGTATATAGATGAGGTGACCTCTTCGTCTTGGAATCAGTCTTTATGGTTTCTCTCACACAGACACAGGGTATGGAAGAAGGGGGACGTCGTACAGCTGGAATGTATGCACGGTGGAGTGTCAACGGACCAGTTCTTGATTTCACACCGGCGTTCCATGAAACACTATCACGTTTTGTAGTTGTAAGCGATGGATTCTATGGATAAGCATGTTCAATGTGAATGAACACACACACACACACACACACACACACACACACACACACACACACACACACACACACACACACACACACACACACACACACACACACACACACACACACACACACACACACCCGCATGTCATGTACAATATCATTGACTAACCCCCACCCACCCAATCATTCCCAACCCCCTCTAAATTTTACGCTTACTTTTTATATACTTAGTATGTACACAATTGATGATCCCCCTTTACTCCCCGGAACAAAATGTGTGACCCCCTTTGAAATCATCAACCGCCATTAATTATGAACGGTCCCTAATGACGGTCCCTTATGCCGGTCCCTTCCTCGATGTAACTACTCCAATACTTATATCATCTCCTACGCAACCCCCACCCCCACCCCGTCATACACGTTTCCACCTCTACAGACTAACACCACACCACGTCAAAATAACGTTAATTGGCCGGTCATTAGTATATTTGAGCTTCTGTACACAAGGCTGAATGGTTGGGGTAAAATGGAGTCTCGCCCCGTTTCCTCCTACATACGTAAGTCACTGTCACGTCAGCTCAATGGGAATTGTTCATGGTGAATTGAAATGAAAGCTAACATGCTACATGCTACTTACAACGTGTATAAAGTATATAGTGTAAAACATGTAAAACGTACCTGTAAAACAAAGCCACAGTGCCTGTGAACGGTGCATCCTGCTTCAGACTGTGACCTTTGACACACGCTGTGTACGAGGTTCGCTGTGTACTACTACAGTACACTGGAGGCGTGGGGCTAGACTTGCACAAGTCTTTAAGACAAAAATGAACAGTTATAAGGCGATGGATAGAATTACTATACATCCATGGGCTCAGCCTTCAATTAAGCCTTGGAGCAAGGCTAGCTTAGGGTGTGACGGAAACCTTTTCCTCTGACAACTGGCTTACACGAGAGAGATTATTTTTTCACACAGGAAAACCTTGTGCTTGGGTGGGGTCGTATCAAAAGGTGTCAAGAGAATTTTCCGTTGTTAATGTAGTTCTTATTTTGATACTGACAGAGACCATATACGGTATATGGTCTCTGATACTGGTAAGTTAATGAAAGTACATACTACACAAGGCACAGATATTTGTTACACATTCTGAGTGAGTGAGTGAGTATGGTTTTACGCCGCTTTTAGCAATATTCCAGCCATATCACGGCGGGGGACACCAGAAATGGGCTTCACACATTGTACCCATGTGGGGAATCGAACCCGGGTCTTCGGCGTGACGAGCAAACACTTTAACCACTAGGCTACCCTACCGCCCGTTACACATTCTGTAGATTTAAAAACATATATAGACAGTAACATGCATGGTGTTGTCCTTGTTGTGGTGGTATGTTGGTGACGGTTCTCCAGTTTCTTGTCACTGTCTCGTAACGCATCTCCAGCACAGTATTACATTACCTGTCGTCATAGTGATGGCTGTATACGTTAAACCATGACGACGCAAATAACTACAACATCGGAGTACGGGAAGAAATCCGGAATGTGATGGACACGGCTTTATATTCATGTGTCATAGAAATCATATTTCTAAATCTATCTATCTATCTATCTATCTATCTATCTATCTATCTATCTATCTATCTATCTATCTATCTATCTATCTATCTATCTATCTATCTATATCTATCTATCTATCTATCTATCTATCTATCTATCTATCTATCTATCTATCTATATCAAATCATAATTCTATATCTATCTTTAATTTTAATGCCAGAATGAGCGACTTTCTTGACTTTATCCCTAACGATGATCTTACTCACATCCAGGATGACTGTGTTGACTATCCAGAGGATGTATTTAATATTTATAGAAAAAGTAGAGATAAGTGTTATAACTCTTACGGTATCAAATTAGCAAATCTTTGTTTTACTTTCGGAATTCACTCACTTAATGGTAGACTATTCGAAGATGCTGATGGTAACTTTACATGTTCTACATATAACGGTTCAAGCGTCGTTGATTATATCTTAGCATCTTCTGATTTATTTCAATATTTCACTGACTTTAAAATACTTGATAGAGATGACTCTTGTCATTTTCTTCTTGCTTGCACCTTGATAGTGGAAAATTTTGGTACTGTTCAATGTCCAAGTCACCGAAATAGTTGTAGCAACAAGAAATCTATGCACACTAAATGTGATCCATGGATAAAATATGTGTGGAACAGCAACTCTGTGCAGCCATTTTAAAATAAGTTTCAGGATGTCTTTCTCTCTGATTATGATCAGTTATATAGACAATCAGAAGAAAATGTAATGAACTGTGTCTCAATATTAATAAACATGTACCAGACTGCTGCCTGTGACTTGAGGAAAATTCATAAAACTAAACAATCTTTAATTAACCCAGCTGGAGACTTGCAACCACCGTGGTGGAACAAAGACTTAGAGTGTGCTAAAGGAAGAAAATATGCAGCACTGAGGCTGCACAGAACTTTGGGAAATAGTTTTGATATTTATAAACAGCTACGTAAAGAGTTTAAATCTCTCTACAGAAGGACTAGACAAGAACACTTTAATCAACAAAAAATGTTACTGGTTAATTCTAGAAATAATCCCAGATCCTTTTGGAAAGTTCTCAGAAGGGGGAAAAAAGCAACTCACTATCTACAAACATTAGTCAGGATGATTGGTGTGACCACTTGGAGCACCTGCTCTTCATGCAAAATGCTACTCTTGATTATTCAACATTATATTTTGTTGACCAAAATACAGAAGTGGTCTCAGACAGTTGTATAAACAGACCCTTCTCAGAGGAGGAAGTACTTTTGGGGCTAAAGAATCTTAAACTCAGTAAGTCACCCGGACCAGATGGTTTGCAAAGTGAATTACTTAAAGCAACTAAAAATTACTTAACCCCTATCCTAACAAGAATATTCAACTCTTTGTTGAACAATGGAACATTCCCCAAACAGTGGGGCACTAGTATAATCTGTCCCATTCACAAATCTAACAGTATCCATGTGACGGATAACTATAGAGGAATATCTCTTATTGACTCATTCTGTAAAGTGCGTTGTGCTATTCTTAAAAGTAGACTTCAACGCTGGTGTGATATAAACTCTGTCTTGTCTGAAACCCAGGCCGGTTTTCGGCCAAACTACTCAACGGTGGACCAGATATTCTGTTTACAAGCGATGATACAAAAATATTTATCAAAAAAGGGTGGTAGAGTGTACTGTATATTTGTAGACTTTAAAAAAGCCTTTGATAGTGTTGACCATGAAGTATTATTTAAAAGTCTAATCAACATGGGAATCAAAGGGAAATTTCTTAATCTAATTGTCTCTATGTATTCAAATCTATCTGCTTGTGTTAGGACAGATCAGGGACTATCCAGGCATTTTAAGTGTAATATCGGTACCCGTCAGGGCTGTATCTTGAGTCCGTTGCTTTTTGTAATCTTTATAAATCAGTTATCTCAAATGTTTGATAGTAGTGGTGGTAATGGTATCTTTATTACAAATGAATTCCCAAGTGTTGCAGCCCTCCTGTTTGCAGATGATGTGTCGTGTTTATCTGACACAGCTGTACAGTTGCAGAGGAAGATAAATGTGCTCGAGCAATTTTGTAATGATACAGGCATGAGTATAAACTTGAGTAAAACAAAAATTATGGTTTTTCGTAAAGGTGGTCCCCTACGCCACTATGAGAAATGTTTTTTTAAGGGCAGGAAAATAGAAGTAGTAAATGTATATAGATACCTAGGTGCTGTGTTTACACCATCTTTCTCATGGACTAAGGCTCAGTGCTGTCTTTCTGCTCAAGCACAAAAAGCTTGTATGTCATTGTATAACTATCAAAATAAATTTGGAGCAATTTCAAGTTTAGATATATTCAAAATTTTTGATGCAGCTATTTGTCCTATCCTTTCTTATGGAGCAGAGATCTGGGGCACATCATACTGTAGACAGATAGAAAGTTTGCAAATATACTTCTGTAAAAGGTTTTTGAAAGTTAGTAAATATACCAGCGATGTTATGGTGCTGGGTGAATGTGGCAGAGTTCCCCTACAATATCAGTACATGTCTAGATGTGTCAAATATTGGTGTAGATTGCTTCAGTTAAAATACTCACAGGTTGCCATATCAGTGTTATCAAATGCTTATGTTATTGGATAAAGCTGGTAGAAATACGTGGCCACATCTGTTAAAACATTCTGTATCAGTTTGGTTTTGGTATTGTATGGTTATCCCAAGATGTAGGTAATGTAAATTTATTTATGTTTACTTTCAAACAAAGGTTGTATGACAGTCTATGTCAAGACTGGCATTCTTTAATATCCAATTCATCAAAGTGTAATGTATATAGTAAATTTAAGTCATTGCTGAATGTAGAAAGATACTTAAGCGTAGATATCCCATATTATTACAAGCATGTCATTTCCCAATTTAGATGTAATAATTTCCGTTTAGCGGTTGAGTTAGGTAGGCACAAAAACATCAATTATGCTGACAGGATTTGTACTTATTGTTGTACTAAAGGCTTACATTTAGTGGAGGATGAATTTCATGTTCTCTTAATATGTGAGAGATATGAAGATATCATATAAAGAAAGTAAGAAGCAAACCTCATATTACAATCTGTAACTCATTATAGTCACAGTACTAATACCATGTACAATATGATGTTACCATTGTACTTGCATTTCTGTATTAATATCTCAATACATGAGAGATATGAAGATATTGGACACATACAATTTTAACCAGTCTGGAAAATTTTAGAATGCTAATTTCTTGTAATAACATAAACATATTAACTTGCCTCATACGTTTCTTCTGTCATAGAAAGAAAGCAACAGGTAAATCTGATATTAAAATGTTTTATTTATTTTATTCACAGTACCAATAGTTAAGCATTTACAACACGATGTTACCTCTTTGCCTGTACTTGTATCAATATGTTGACATATGAGAGACATGTACATTTTTTGACAAGATTGCTTTCTTTCCTGTACACCTGTTACTGTAGTCTTGATAATTTTGTCAGGCTAATCCATATTAACTATTGTCTTGAGAATTTTACTATGCTAAGTTTTTGTACCAACATAAATACATTAAATTGCCTTGTACGTATAAAGAAAGTAACTAGTAAATCTGATATTAAAAATTAAAATGTGAAATTCAACGTAATGCAACAACATAATCATAATAATTCGTCTTGGACGTCTCCCTTGTCACATAAAGTAAGTAAAAAGGAAATCTGATATCACAATGTTTTATCCATTATATACATTGTATCTAATATACTCAAGCATGTATAATGCGATGTACCTATTTGTCTGCATTTTGTATTATGGGCCTCTGGCCTAGAACTACAGAAATAAATCTGTCTGTCTGTCTGTCTGTCTATCTATCTATCTATCTATCTCAAATCATATTTTTAAATCTATCTGTCTATCTATCTATCTCAAATCATATTTCTAAATCTATCTGTCTATCTATCTATCTATCTATCTCAAATCATATTTCTAAATCTATCTGTCTATCTATCTATCTATCTATATATCTATCTATCTCAAATCATATTTCTAAATCTATCTGTTTATCTATCTATCTATCTCAAATCATATTTCTAAATCTATCTGTCTATCTATCTATCTATCTCAAATCATATTTCTAAATCTATCTGTCTATCTATCTATCTCAAATCGTATTTCTAAATCTATCTATCTATATATCTATCTATCTCAAATCATATTTCTAAATCTATCTGTCTATCTATCTATCTATCTATATATCTATCCATCTCAAATCATATTTCTAAATCTATCTGTCTATCTATCTATCTATCTCAAATCATATTTCTAAATCTATCTATCTATCTATCTCTCTCAAATCATAATTCTATATCTATCTTACCATCTCTCTATGTTGAACAATCTTTATGGATAACAACTTCTTTCGTGAGTGAGTGCGACGTTTCCATACAGATTCATGTACTTTTGTCCTGCTTGAATCTGTGTCGGTACAAGAATCTGTATCGAAACGTCGCACTCACGAAATAAAGAACTTGTTTTCCTTAAAATATGTTCTATATTGTATGTCTCAACTTCTAAAATGCCACTCAAACAAGTCATCTCTCTATATATTCATCCATCTATCCATTCCTCTCGCTCTCAAATCATATTTCTAAATCCATCTATCCATCTCTCCCTTTCCCTCTCTCTCGCTCTCTCTCCCTCTCTCTCCCTCTCTCAAGCGGTAACGAGATCACTCACGGCGGTAGTCACAGTTTTCGGCTCTGGCAGCTGCGCCACTAGCCTTGCTCCAAGGTTGTATTGAGTGCTAAACCCATGCATGTATAGTAATTCTAACCTTTAAACATCAAGTCTAGATAAGCGGACAAGACGGACCCAAGTCTCTTACTAATGTTTTTTTAAAGATTTTTCATTTAAACTATTAATTACTACTTTAGAGACTTAAACAAGTCTACCACGCCACTTGACACCTGTTAGAGGGGTGCACGCAGTACGTGTGAAACTGAAATCATAAATATAACAGATGTTACAAATAACATTTTCCCTTCCGCTGAATTACACACATAAGCTGGAAATTAATAGCGAAACCGACTGATATAGTTTTTAAAGTATGCAAAAACTTCCGCCCCTATCCCCTCTTAAATCAAGTCATATTACCTGAATATATATATTTCCTCATCGTTAAAATTTAGGGGTGGAGGTACGGGCGGAGGACTTACCCATATTTTGATCTTTCCATAAAGACTCAGAGTGCTAAAATGTGATAATATCAGTGTCGACAAGAATCTATAAAAGAGTGATAAGCCTTTTTTGATTATGGGGAGATTTTGTTTGCTATTATTTTAAGGTATTTTTTTAGAATAAATTGTATATAATTACGGACAGGATTGTGTTGCTTTTATTTCAATTCTGCTTTTACAAAAGGCCTTCCTATTATTATGGACAGGTTTTGACACTTTTGGGATTTAAAACTGAACTGAATTGTTTATCTAGTGTTTTTAACTTTCATCCCAAATCGGTGCTGTCCCCAACAACTGATGTAAACAAATCTAACCCGACTGTGTATCGCGTAGACTAACGCTTAATCTACGAAAATAAATAAGTTTGACAGTAACAAATAATCCCGTTTCAATTGAAAAGGAGCCCCAGTGAGATGTGAGACTCTCTAAATATACATAATTGTGATAGCAACAAATAAACCAATTTCAATTGAAATGGCGCCCCAATGAAATGGGAGATTCTCCAAATGTACATAATTTTGATAGTAACAAATAAACTCGTTTAAATTGAAAAGGAGCCCAAGCGAGATGGGAGATTCAGAACCTGAGCCGGTAGAAAAAATATGGTGGTTCAGAGACTGTGAGACAGACGTATGGAGGTAATATGACTCACCTCATGTGAAATTGCATACAAACGGGTTGCTCACATAAACAGACGCAATGCACTGATGCACCGCCTACAGACATTTAACGCAGTACCCGGGTCAACATCACCCGAGCTTTGTCCCATTTATATCTTTAAACATGTATAACCAGACTTTGTTTAAATACAGACGAGTTATTAGACTATGACAAACCACAATACACCGGTTGCATCGTGATCGGTGGAGTTATTAGAATGAATTTGAAACTGTTCGGTCGCTAAATGCCTGAGCAGTACAACTGTGGTACAAAGAACACATTTCACAAACACATCTTTGATATAATACTATATATTTACATAAAACATGTGACAAGCTGTAACACAATTTTGAGTGAGAAATATCAGTTTAAGAACATAATTTTCGAGCGTCTATTATTTCTTGGACAATGAAAATTGTAAATAATATTGATAGACATAAATTAATCTTTCATTCCTGTATATGTTGCAATAGTCATACAAAATGTACTTTCATTCCAATGAATATTTTTATGCCAATGCTACCGGTAGGACAGGACATTCTTAGTAATCTTACCCATGTCGCGAACATCTGGTGTCATCCCTGATTTTCAGTGATCCATTTACATAAGCTTTGACAGCTATTTTTCTCTTTACACTTATCGCATTTTGTTTCTGAGTACAGCCCAGACTGGGTATTCTTTTGCACAGATAGTATATATTTAAATGAAATACGTCTTCAGTTGCTAGTGAGTTGAAGAAATACACAATGTACTATCCTCCAAGAATAGAACAGACCATCTGTCTGGATGATTGTGATTTGATGTTCTAAATTAAAGTAAATGATATGAAACGACCTTTTGGAGAAAAGTAATATTTTTATAAGGAAAAAATGTTTTAAAGAAGAACATTTCTCACTAGATCAGGAATGGTCTGTTTTCAGATTGTTATTCTCAAAGTACTGATCCGCTTGAATATGCTTGAATATACAGTGCAGATAGGACTAACGCTGTTTACGTATCAAATATGTTCGATCTGGAGGACAGTACATCATAATTATCGCTGTTCAATAATGTAATATAATGTGATGTAATGTAATGTAATGTATGATGTTTCAAATTAGACCCCCACCCCCCCCACCCCAACTCAGCTATTGTATAATGTAATCTAATGTAATCAAATAAATGTATGATATTTCCAATAATAAAAAAAGCCCCACACAACAACTACTCCGCTCATAATCTCTCTATCCAGTCATCAGAAGCTAACTAAACAATGAGATTCAAACTGGTACTGTGTGGCAATGCATTTATCAGACTATCAATAACTTGGAATGTATGTCCTGAGGCCTTCATAACATCACGTACTAGATAAAGAGTGAATGGGACGTCACTAACAGAGTCACCTGGAGGTCATCTACCTCTATCGACATTTTTTTTAATACCATGAAAGAAAACTCTAATCCCGGTGTAATAACCGGAGCATGTCTTGTAACAAATGATGGATGTACGCACATAGCTGTGGATATACTGCTCTTGTTCCGTGATGTGATTTAAAAGTTATGGGCACATCTAATGTCAAATGACGAGGAGAGAAGTAAACAAAAACATATTCCTTTTTGGGGCTGAGGCAGGGCAGCTATATAACCCCATGTCTGTCTGTCACAGATGCATTGTCTACTGACTCGCTTTTTTACACCATGTTTTCGTCTTTGTTCACCCTTGCTGTTGTCTTGGCGGTGTACATGCCGTTGACATCAGCTCAAGGTAAGTTAAATTTAGTATTATTATACGTGGTGGAGGTCATTCACACGCGATTTTTTCTAGGCATTCACAGCTTTAACAGGCATACTGAACCATACATATATGTAATACATCATACAGTAAACTACGGTTTTATCGATCTCAAAGGAGCTACTAATTTCAGTTCGTGATATCCGTAGTTTAACGCCTCTCGACTGCCAAATTTCTTGGATCACGCCCTATAAAAGTCCTTTATAATTGTCATTGAACGATGATATCTATGTATTTCGAACTGTGAATTAGTATCATATACAGAGTGTACTCAAGTTCACCTCAACGCTGTAAATTGCATGAATATATACAACATTTTCATCAAACAAGCGACTTCTAATTCTAGCATAATTCCTTTTCTAGAATTCTGAATGCTCTGTATGAAAGAAGTACATTATAGCATAATTACATATTCTTCTTTATCTTTGATGGTCATAATTTACGGCATAAATGCTTTGATTAGTTATAATGTTTTTTGGATGAAACGTTTTTGATAAGAAAGGTATTATTGGTTTGGTTGACAGCTCTGTGCGACACTGCTGGCTGCCTTAATGGCGTCTGCGTCCTGCCACCAGTTACAATAGTCCCTACGTGCAACTGTACTACAGGTTTCCAGACGACTCTAACCGACCCGAATGTGTGCTCCAGTAAGTTCTATGTCACACATAACCTCGCCATTTGTCAATCACCAGGTTTTGATAAAACACATTAATTTTACTTCAACAATAATGTGTGAATTGGCATCAGTGAGTGAAATTTTACGCCGCTTTTAGCAATATTCCAGCAATATCACGGCGGGGACACCATCAATGGGTTTCACACATTGTACCCATGTAGGGAATCGAACCCGGGTCCCGTGACGAGCGGCCGCTTTAACCACTCGGTTACCCCACCGCCCCGTATCGGCATGAATGTTGTGATAACGAGTTATGTTCGTGTGTGTATGTCGTCATATCGAAGTGTATATTTGAATGTATGTCGCAATGACCTGGTGTTATCCTTTGTGTATGTTGTAACAATGAGTTAAATAGCTACCGGTTTGCACAGTCATACACAACACCGGTTATTTGAAAGACTAGACGCACACCTGCCCAATTTCTAAAGTTGTTAAACAATATTCCTCAATTCTTTGTGTAAACAGAATGGATATTTTGACACAACGCCCGGCAGCTGATTCTTCATGTCAGACAACTCTCATGTATTTTACAGTCTTTACTTTTGCTGAGCATAAATTTCTTATTACTATTGCATGTGAAAATCCAATTCATTTACAGCGTCCAAAACATTAAAAAAGCTAAAGTAAATATTCCCGCCTATGATAAAATTGTTTTTCGTCCATGGGCGAGATTTTTAAATATTGCTCTAAATTAGCCGAATTAAGTCAAAATGAGTTGAATTTTGTGTCGTGATACTTAAACATACTTTAATTCAAGTACAACCTCCAAAACATGAATTCTGAGCGGAACGAAACATTTCCGCCCATGGGTCACTATTCGCGAGTTTAAATTTTGAGTTTTCAAAAAGATGTTTTGTCATTTTTTCATCCTTAGTATATATTCATGACAAATGCATGTTTAATTTTGTCAAATCCCTTGTCAGAAAGTTGCAGTGCTGAGAGTTCAAATAAACCTCATGAAGTTTATGGGTTTTTTTAGATATTGACGAGTGTTCAGAAAATAATTACCTCTGTGGGGTGAGTTATGAGCCCAATCTCCACACCTATGTGCCCAGTGGGAGATGTGTCGACACTGCGGGGTCGTACGGCTGTCTGTGCAACCCCAACCTATCCCTGCCATCCTTCGACAACAGGACCTGTTTCCGTAAGTTGTGTCATGTGCTCTTATTACCTGACGTCAGTATAAGACAGTGGAAAAAAAATTACCAAGACATACATACCGGTATATGATTTCGGATATATTATATTTGAATAATGTGTAATAGCATCACCCGGTATCTCGGCACCGAAGAGTCCTTAGATTGTATGAGTGCAAAATAGACGTACAATGCATGTTCCACATAAAGCACAGATCTATTCTGATTTGACATTTGACTGTTTTCAGCCCAGCCTGTTCAACAGCAGCAGCAGCAACAACAACAACAACAACAGTTTCAACGTCTACTTAACCAGCTCTTGTTATTTGGCCTGTTGGGGTCATAACAACTGTCTTGCATTGGCAATATTCCTAAATTCTTGTGGAAACTAAAATTGTAATAAAACATGTCAGTCGATATTGTGGTATGTTAAATTTGTATGCTTCATTGGTATTACATCCAAGTGTTACAGTAGATGGGGCTCTGGCGTTCCTAACCACGGTGACAAAAATAATTTGATCTTTTTTCATTTGAAATGTACACAAGCTGAAATACCATCTATTGGTGTTTGTTTCAGTGCATATAAGACTGTACTGTCAGCTTGAAGTTTGCTAAACGCTTATCATGATATCAACCGAATTCCTAAATTCAGGAGGAGAGGGCAGACCCACTTGCAAATCTGGTAACACGATGAAGTCATCTTTTGGTTATCGGAACCTAACTGAGTTACTAACAAAGTAGAAGTAAGTGTTAAATATACATGAAGATTATAATAATTGGTTTTAAGCATCCATTCCTGCCATTAGAAACGATTATACATGTAAGACGCGACAAGAGGGTTTATTTCCGAAACAACTCTCTCCGACAATCGTTTGTTTTCAAAGCTGTTCTTTTTTCCTACCACAGATCACGACGATCATATTTCATTAATTCCAATTTCTTTAGAAACGATACTTCATAACTAGAGTACAAAATGTGCAAATCAGAGTCAGTTTTAGTTAGAATTGTTATCATTTAAGGTGTGTTATTTCTCTAAAAATAAGCTACAACTTAAACCAACTCTTGTCACGGTTCACTTTACCAGGCTTTAACATGGCATTACAAATAATGCTTAATGAAAGGACAAACCTTGCAAAAGACCAATTTCAGTTCGTCTTAGTATTATGCGAACATTACAGAGGGAGACCATACACTGTGTACGCGCACTGAAATGGAACATAATCACCATCTTATCCGAATATGCAGAAGTGTGCAGAACACTCATTCGAGTTAACTGTAGGAGTCAGAACGTACCGCCCACTTCAACATTCGTGCATGGGCATTATTGTTCAAGTCACGCACAACACATATAATATGGTAAGAAACGAATGGTAACAAACGAATATTGTTTTTTTATAGAAAAATGGCGATGTAGCATCTCTTGTGGTAAATTCATGTAATCATTTAATTGAAGGATCATTTTATAAACAGGGAGTGAGTGAGTGAGTGATTTCGGTTTTACGCCGCACTCAGCAATATTCCTGCTATATGGCGGCGGTCTGTAAATAATCGAGTCTGAACCAGACAATCCAGTGATCAACAGCATGGGCATTGATCTGCGCAATTGGGAACCGATGACATGTGTCAACCAAGTCAGCGAGCCTGACCACCCGATCCCGTTAGTCGCCTCTTACGACAAGTATGGGTTACTGAAGGTTCATTCTAACCCGGATCTTCACTGGTATAAATAAGAACCACTGATGCACCCACACATGCGTAAAACGAATGAAGCCCATTCCTGGTGGCCCCCATATTGCTGGGCTATTGCTAATCAGACACATTAGAACTTCTGCCTTGGCATCGCAGAACTTCGGTAAATATGCCAGACGTGAGATATAGCCATTCGTATTTCTTAAGAAAAAACACCAGATCAATGTTCTTCCTGAAAATCACTTATTAAAGTCAGTTGTATGAAAGAAAGAATGCAGATCAAGAACTACACACATGGAAAAAAGTGTCGCAAACCTCATGATTTTTAACCCCAATATACAAAAAAATGTTTGGAAATATAAATGCATGTTACACTGCATTTAACTTTCTATGATACAGTATTCCAATCGCATGTCAGTTTTTCAATCTATGCTCCTTCAATCTGCACCCATTAGTTTTCAATACGCACCACACAGACACAGCAAGGAGAGGCAGAATAGAAGCCAGAGTGCAATCCATCCGATTCCCTTGGCCCAGAAAAGGTTGTCGTTGTCTCCGTACTTGGGGGTAAATAAAGGGAGTAGTATAGATGAACACCGATTATTGTAAAATACAAACGGGTGTGAGTAATAGGTACTTACGTATATAGGGATAGGAACGTGTGGGGTTTCACATGTAAATCTATCTAGTCATTGATGTGATCTTCCTCTTCAAGCATCGGTGACCCATGAAGGTCCGGGTTAGAATATTAGCTTTCAGTAACCCACGCTTATCGTATGGGGCGACTAACGGGATCGGGTGGTCAGGCTCACTTTCTTGGTTGACACATGTCATCGTATCCCAATTGCGTAGATCGATGCTCATGGTGTTGATCACTGGATTGTCTGGTCCAGACTCGATTAGTTGTGGACCGCCGCCATATAGCTGGAATATTGCTGAGTGGGGCGTAAAACTCACTCACTCACTCACTCACTGATGTGATCTAACTGTTGCAATTTCTTTAAAAAAATGCATAATCCATCTATACTTACGTGTTACTATACTTACGCTCATATCAGTGGGGAGCGAGAATAATTGTGATTAACAGTATATTGGACATATTTCACCGAGGGATAACAACTACTGATACACGAGCTCCCAACAGAACCAACAAGTTTCGATATGCTGCTGTCTTTACACTATTGTGGTCAATCGCATCACGCTCGTGGTAAAGTGTGAATGTGAGGTCAGTCATCAGGTCACTGGACGTTTTGCAATATCCTTGAAGAAAAACCTACTGCTGGTGTAAGATCGTTTTTTACAGATGATGGATGTGCACACATAACTATCTATATACATGTACTGTGATTGTTATGTCTTCTTATGTCCCATGACGAGGAGAAATAACACCAATCATATTCTTTTGTTTCGCGTGAGACAGGGCAGCTATATAAGCCCATATCTGTCTAGCACAGATGCACTGTCCACTGACACTCGCTGTTTTACACCATGTACTCATCGTTGTCCACCCTTGCTGTTATCTTGGCGGTATACTTGCCGTCAACATCTGCTCAAAGTAAGTGCAACATTGTATCATTATACAAAGTGGTAGTCATTTACACTCAAAGTGTGTTATAGGTTTCCTCTACTGTGTGTTAGTCTATTTTAGAGGCTGTATTATCGAGAACTCAATGTTAATAGGAATATCACAGTAACCTACGATTACAAGGAACTCAAGGGGACCACTAATTTTAGTTCGATATATACATTTCCATTGTCAAGTCCTATATATACATAATTGTCATTAAAAGATTATATGGTTTTTTCTAATTGTGAATTAGCATTAGGTACAGTGTATGTTGTACATTGTGAATCATACATTCATATGATAGGGTCAACTGTTTTTGGAACCTGCAAACTGCAAATTTGTCTGTGAAACGTAAGTACTTAGGTGAATGTAAAACATAATGTATTTATTTCTTTTTTTTTATGTAATGTTCATTTACGAATTGTTACAAATGCATTATCATGTTAGGAAGTGATCTCAGGAGAAATGCTTTGAAAGATTTGTCAGGAAGAAATGTATAGTGAGTTAAGATTGTACTTTGATTGGTTGACAGCTCTGTGCGACACTGCTGGCTGCCTTAATGGTGTCTGTGTCCTGCCACCAGTTACAATTATCCCAACGTGCAGCTGTACAACAGGTTTTCAGACGACTCTAATCGACCCGAATGTATGCTCCAGTAAGTCACACATAATCTCGCCATTTGAGGAACAACCAAGAATCAATTCAAACACATGCATTTTGTTATGATAACGAAGTGTGTGAATGTCGTGATGGTGGATATCTATTAGCCACAAAAAAATTGAGATGCAGGTTCTAATGGCATATTTTCTGTTACCTCCCAACGAAGGATACAGTTTTCACTGACAGCTGATTGGCTGTTTCAGAAATATTGCCATTTGATTACCTACCGGTACTACTTTCACTATGCAGTCAAAACGTCTATTTATTTTCTGCCCTCACGCACAATAAGACCACGAGAGTGCACATTTGCAACATCAAATATTTTAAGGAATACATTTGTAGTTATTTTCAAATTACAATGCTCCCTTGGAATTATGACCAATGCTTTTGATGCACACAAAACATAAATGCATAAGACTTCTTCAAACATAAAGTTTCGTCTACTTAGTAGCACAACATGTGTAAACCAACATATCAAGTATATTTGACAGCCTTTACTTATCCAAAACGTAAATAAGGGAATACATTTCTCATCACTACAGTATGCAACAATCCAAGCAAAACTCATGAATGTGTATTCCTTTGTTTCAGATATTGACGAGTGTTCAGAAAATAATTACCTCTGTGGGGTGAGTTATGAGCCCAATCTCCGCACCTATCTCCCCAGTGGGACATGCGTCGACACTCCCGGGTCCTTCAGCTGTCAGTGCAACCCCAACCTATCCCTGCCATCCTTCGACAACAGGACCTGTTTCCGTAAGTTGTGTCTTGTGCTCTTATTACCTGACGTCAGTATAAGCCAGTGAAGTGAGTGAGTGAGTAAGTATGGTTGTACGCCGCTTTTAGCAATATTCCAGCAACATCACAGTGGTGGACACCAGAAATGGGCTTCACACATTTGTACGCATAATGGGAATCGAACCCGGGTCTTCGACGTGACGAGCGAACACTTTAACCACTAGGTTACCCCAACGCCCAGGAAATCATTGAAGATATATTTACCAAGTTATAATAGTCAATACACATATATTTGGGTATATATCGATCCATCGCACCCGTGTGTATTCATTGGCATAGGGTGATGAAGTGTCCTGTATAAACAAAAAGTTTATGTAATGCGCGCTCCACATGAGGGACAAATATACTTTGGTTTGATATTTGCTTGTTTTCAGCTCTGCCCGTTCAACAACAGCAGCAACAACAACAGCAACAACAGTTATTACAACGTCTTATCAACCAGCTGCTGCTATCGGAAATTTTGTAAACTAAACCTTCAATAAAACTTTCAGTAGCTATTGAGAGACGTTGGTTTGTTTACATCAAAGTGAAAAAGTCGCAGGTCGCTTTGTCTATGTTGGCAAATATAATCTCATCTCTTTCCAATTGAAATGTACAAAGGCTGAACGACCATCTTCAAGTACTGATACATGTCAGTAGGACTATACCTGCAGATTTAAAAGATTAGTGAGTGAGTGAGTGAGCTTAGTTTTACACCGCACTCAGGAATATTCCTGCTTTATGGTGGCAGTCTGTAAACAATCGAGTCTGGAACAGACAATCGAAGCAATCAACACCACAATCATCGATCTACGCAACTTGGACACGATTATATGTCTCCATCAAGTCAGCGAGCCTGACCACCCGATTCCGTTAGTTGCCTCTTACGGCAAGCATCTAGAGTGAGAAGAGTCTCATTGAGACCCAAACAAAGTGTTAAGACCTATTTCAGACTTGTAAAGATGCGAGTAGGAATTGGTTTTAGCCACCATGCTAGACACTAAAGGCGACTATGCTTCATGCCCCGATAAATGGAATCAATTGATGGGTTTGTTTATGAAATCACGTTGTCCAGCAATCGTGTTTTCTTCAAAGCTCTCTTTATTCGAACGACCGATGACAACATTCATATTTCATGCACTCCTACATTTCGTGGAGATTTATACAATATAACGACAGTAGAAACTGTACAAACAGTCTTTTAGTTCGGAATGTTATACTTAAAACTGCTATTGCTCATTAACTAGCATCTACATTTTTGTACCACTACCAGTAAATAATGCATTCACACGGTTACAACATGACAAAGTCAAACAAAATGTCTGGGTTTCAAACTGTGTTAGATTACACGTATGTCATTGTGTGTGAAGAATGAAATCGAACTGACCGTCAACAGGATCAACCTGCGAAAAAAAACCTACAACTAAAACCGTCACTGATCAAAAACCACTGTTTGTTTGTTGGTTTATTGTCTTACGCCGCACTCAGCAGTATTCCAGCTATATGGCTGTGGTCTGTAAATAATCGAGTCTGGACCAGACTATCCAGTGATCAACACCCTGAACATCGTTCTACATAACTGGGATACCAACTCTACCAATTCTCGTTTTGTTTCAAACAAATATCACGCCACATTCAATATCAACACTTGTTAACCATTGAATGATGATTTTCGTTATCTAGAAAGGTAAAAATGAAAGTCCAACATGTCGACATCCGAAAAATCACTTCTATCTTTTCATTGAATGAGAGGTTTATGACTCAGACAGCAAAGTCCAATGTTTAGGACCGTGCTCATATATGTAGAGAAAAGAAAAATGAGCGAGAAATGTCAACGTAAATTTATTTCTCTATTTCTTTTTTCACTTCATCTAATGTATTAGTTTTAAAGAACCATGCCTGTAGTGAGTGAGTGAGGATGATTTGACGCCGCTTTTAGCAATATTCCAGCACTATTACGGCGAGGGACACCAGAAATTCGCTTCACACATTGTACCCATGCGGGGATTCGAACCGCGTCTTTGGCGTGACGAGCGAACGCTAGGCTACCCCACCGCCCCACCATACCTGTAAATTCTTGGGAGATGGTCTTCTGAACTGAAACCCTAACCTATCCCTGCCATCCTTCGACAACAGGACCTGTTTCCGTACGTTGTGTCATGTGCTCTTATTACCCGACGTCAGTATAACTCATTGAAAACATATTTACATATAATAATATTTACTAGTTTATAATATTTCGGATATATAATATCTGGATAATGTGGAATGGCATCTCCCGATATCTGGGCATAGAAGAGTCCTACGATTGTAAGAGTCTGACATGTTGCAGTTATAACAACTATCTTGCACTGTCAACATTTCTATATTCTTGTGTAAGCTAACGTTTTAATAAAACATTTCAGTTAATATTGTGGTAATTTTCTATGAATCCTTGGTACTACATCCAAGAGTTCCAGTCGATGGGCATCTAGCGCTTCTGGTAACAAATGGTAACTAAATTATTTTATCTATTATTTGAAATGTAAGCAAGCCGAACGATCATCTATCAGTATTTATATAATGCATGAACATAGGACTGTACTATCAGCTTTAAGATGACCAAACGATTATCAATACAAGTGTTCGTTTATCGACCGAAAACCATAACATCAGTTAAATCAGATATTGACTGAATTCAGGAGGAGAGGGCACACCTACTGGCAAATCTGGAAATACATCCATTTGTTATTTGAACCTAATTGAGACGCAAACAAAGTAGTAGGACCCATTAAAGACACGTGCAGATGCGGGTAGGAATTAGTTCTATATAAGCCACCATGCTTGTCATTCGAGGCTGCTATTCTTATAAGATGCGACAAAAGAGTTTTAGTTCTTTTTCCCCGAAAACACTGTATCTAGCAATTCATTTTTTTCAAGGCTGATCGTTCTTCCCACCACATTCGTATTTCATCAAATTCCAATTTATCTGCAGATTGATATTATATAATATATACTTAAAGCCATTTAATTTCAAATTAACTAGCATCAATAGGTTTTTGTGTACCACCGATAAACAAGGCATACATACGGCTACACCTAAAAAAATTCAAACAGCATATATGGATTTCAAACTGTTTTTGTTTTCAAATATTTAAATCGAACTGACAATCAGCTCACTACAGGAACTCCTACAATTTAAACCAACGCTGATCATGATTCACTGTGCCAAAGTGTAATAAAGCCTAGTGAAAAAATGTAATGCCTAGTGAAAAAACAAACATTGTAAAAGAACGATTCCAGTTCGTTTTCGTATAATACGAGCATTATAGAGGGAGACCATAAACTGTATACACGCACTGAAATGAAACATTAACATAAACACCATCTTATCCGAATATCGCAAGGGTAGAAGTGTGCAGAACACTCATCCCAGTTGACTTTATTAACCAGGCCATACAACCCACTTGAACATTCGTGCATAGGCATTATTGTTCAAGTCATCGACACCACATATATAATGATAACCAGCGAATGGTAACAAACGAATATTGTTTTTTCTTTGAAAAATTCGAAAATGGTCATTTAGCATCCCATGTAGAAAATTCATGTAATCTTTTCAATTGAAGGATTATTTTATAGATAAGGTTGACACCAATGCACTCACACTTGAGTAAAATGAGTGAAGCCCATTTCTGGTGTCCCCAAATGCACCGTTAATTTTGAAAGATACTTGTGATAGAGATACACTACGCGCCAAAAGAAACGTTACCCTCCTACATTTATGAATTACTTGAAAACTATCAAAGTGTTAGAAGGTATTGGTTTACAAGAAAGCTTAACAACACAGCTTTATTCAAATCACGAAAGAATTCTCAAATGCATTCATATTTAGGTGAAATGCATCTTTTTCAGAAGAGTTAAATTGTCCTATTTTCGTCCATGTCGAAATAAACCAATAATAGTGATTAAGATGTCCAAAAGAAAGGTTGAAATAGAAATCTGCTTTGGGACAAAGGTAAGCCATTTAAAGTCACCATTTTTCAACCATTAACTCAAAAAACAGCTGTTGTAGAGTGTGTAAAATCGTAAAAGAATCATTCCTAAGAACATTTTCTGCTGATTTGCATTTGTGAAAAAATGTAAAACGTGTCTTTGATATTGTGGAAAGAATGTTTAGGAACTTCTACAATGATCTTTGTTAACATTTTTGCTTGTAAAGTAACATTGTTCCATTTTCTGTTTAAGCATAGCAATATCAGTGGCCAAAGCGCAGCAGTATTCAAGCAGTATTTGCATCCATTTCACATGTAGAATGATCCTATTGGGTATGAAGAGAGCCTACAAAAGATGATATGATACACAAGAACGAGAAATATGCCACGATTAACAGCTGAAGAGAGAGGTAGCGCCATTGGGATGGTGGGGATGGGATCGACATACAATGCTGTTGCCAACGCTCTCGGATGCCACCGTATCACGGTTATAAGACTTATTCAAAGCTTCAGACTGACTGGGGTCACCGTAGACAGATCAAGAAGTGGACGTTCAGGCATCACAACTCCAGTTGAAGATAGGTACATCCGTCATTCGGGAAGGAGGGTAACGTCTCTTTTGGCGTTTAGTGTATGACTTTATGCCAGAGGTTTACTTCAAGGGCAAAGAAAGGGTTGAGTGAGGAATGTCAATGTACATTCAATTTTCTATTTCTGAAATAAAGTGTGCCCAGTTCTTTTCATGGGAACACAATTTATTTTAACTATAGACATACAAATTCGACATGGAGACCAGTGCATAGAGAACAGTGAATAGAGAACAACTAAGCTCCAGAGCGCTTGTTTACGCCCCGAGTGAATGTGATGTTAAAGAAATATCCATAATTTGTTCACAAAAGTAAGGCCAAATAGCATGACTATTTTGAAGCACTTATTTCCCCACTCAGGGGCGGTACAGGGGGACACATCAAACCTTATACCTTGGCATCACAGAACTTTGGTAATTAAGCCAGACGTAGGATATAACCATTCGCATCCCTTAAGAAAAGCACTAGATCAATGTTCTTCCTGAAAATCCCTTATTAAAGTCAGTTGTAAGTAAGAAAGAATGCAGATCTAGAACTATACACATGTAAAATAATATCACAACACATATGATTTCTATCCATATAGCCATACATATTGATATCATAATTATGTTTATGATTATTTTGAGGGGTGCACCATGATTCTATTTATGACGGGGCTACGATGGAACGCGAGCATCACGTGCAATACGTGTACCCGTCACTAAGCAAATAGGACGTTTCTGTAAACTGCTCAATAGCGTGGAAAATCAATCGAATTCGTTGTTGATCAGCAGATATGGGGGCTTTCGCAACTAACAACTGCACAGAGATGGAAAGTTGGCATGTTATTGAAGCTTGTTTCATAGAGAGGACTATAGAGATGCTGGTTGTCATCCATCAACTATCGCCTCACCTCAACACAACCAACAAGTTCGATATGTTACGATCTTTACACTATTGCAGCCAATCGCATCACGCTCCTGGTGTGAATGTGAGGTCAGTCATAAAGTCACTTTGATCGAAGGTCATCTACCTCACTGGACGTTAATATCCTTGAAGAAAAAACTACTGCTGGTGTAAGATATTTTTACACATGATGGATGTTCACACATAGCTGTCTATGTACTGCTATTGTTCTATCATGTTATGGACAGATCTTATGTCCCATGACGAGGAGAAAGTAAACCAAAAAACATATTCTTTTGTTTGGGGTGAGACAGGGCAGCTATATAACTCTTTGACTGTCCAGCACAGATGCACTGTCCACTGACACTCGCTGTTTTACACCATGTACTCATCGTTGTCCACCCTTGCTGTTATTTTGGCGGTATACTTGCCGTCAACATCTGCTCAAAGTAAGTGCAACATTGTATCATTATACAAAGTGGAAGTCATTTACACTCAAAGTGTGTTATAGGTTTCCTCTACTGTGTGTTAGTCTATTTTAGAGGCTGTATTATCGAGAACTCAATGTTAATAGGAATATCACAGTAACCAGCGATTACAAGGAACTCAAGGGGACCACTAATTTTAGTTCTATATATACATTTCGATTGTCAAGTCCTATATATACATAATTGTCATTAAAGGATTATATGTATTTTCTAATTGTGAATTAGCATTAGGTACAGTGTATATTGTACATTGTTAATCATACATTCATATGATAGGGTCAACTGTTTTTGGAACCTGCAAACTGCACCAAATCAATTTGTCTGTGAAACGTAAGTACTTAGGTGAATGTAAAACATAATGTATTTATTTCTTTTTTTTATGTAATGTTCATTTACGAATTGTTACAAATGCATTATCTTGTTAGGAAGTGATCTCAGGAGAAATGCTTTGAAAGATTTGTCAGGAAGAAATGTATAGTGAGTTAAGATTGTACTTTGATTGGTTGACAGCTCTGTGCGACACTGCTGGCTGCCTTAATGGCGTCTGTGTCCTGCCACCAGTTACAATTATCCCAACGTGCAGCTGTACAACAGGTTTCCAGACGACTCTAATCGACCCGAATGTGTGCTCCAGTAAGTCACACATAATTTCGCCATTGGAGTAACAACCAAGAAACAATTCAAACACATCCTTTTTGTTATGATAACGAAGTGTGTGAATGTCGTGATGGTGGATATCTATTAGCTTCAAAGAAAGGGAGATGCAGGTTCTAATGGTATATTTTCTGTAACCTCCCAACGAAGGATACAGTTTTCACTGACATCTGATTGGCTGTTTCAGAAATATTGCCATTTGATTACCTACCGGAACTACTTTCACTATTCAGTCAAAGAGTGTATTTATTTTTTGCCCTCACGCACAATACGACCACGAGGCTGCACATCTACAACATCAACTATTCTAAGGAATCCATATTTATTTATTTTCAAATTACAATGCTCCCTCGGAATTATGGCCAATGCTTTTGATGCACACAAAACATAAATGCATAAGACTTCTTCAAACATAGATCCGGGGTAGAATAAGTCTTCAGCAACCCAGGCTTGCCACAAAAGGCGACTATGCTTGTCGTAAGAGGCGACTAACGGGATCGGGTGGTCAGGCTCGCTGACCTGGTTGACACATGTCATCGGTTCCCAATTGCGCAGATCGATGCTCATGCTGTTGATCACTGGATTGTCTGGTCCAGACTCGATTATTTACAGTAAATATGGGAATACATTTCTCATTACTACGGTATGCGACAATCCAAGCAAAACTCATAATGAATGTGTATTCCTTTGTTTCAGATATCGACGAGTGTTCAGAAAATAATTACCTCTGTGGGGTGAGTTATGAGCCCAATCTCCGTACCTATCTCCCCAGTGGGACATGCGTCGACACTCCCGGGTCCTTCAGCTGTCAGTGCAACCCCAACCTATCCCTGCCATCCTTCGACAACAGGACCTGTTTCCGTAAGTTTGTGTCATGTGCTCTTATTACCTGACGTCAGTATAAACAATTGAAGTGAGTAAGTGAATGTTGTTGTACGCCGCTTTTAGCAATATTCCATCACAGCGGGAACACCATAAATGGGCTTCACATATTGTACCAAGGAGGGGAATTGAACGAGCGAACACTTTTACCATTAGGCTACGGCACCGCCCCATAAATAACTGAAGACATTTTTGCCAAGTCATAATAGCCAGTACATATATATTTGGGGCATTATCAATCCATCTAACCAGTGTGCTTTCATTGGCACATGGTGATGAAAATTAGCATTGATGATTCGGGCACAGAAGTGTTCTGCGTGAAAAATGGTTTATGCAATGCACACTCCACATGAGGGACAAATATATTTTGATTTGATATTTGATTGTTTTCAGCTCTGCCTGTTCAACAACAGCAGCAGCAGCAGCAGCAACAACAACAACAGTTATTACAACGCCTTATAAACCAGCTCCTGCTATCGGAAATTTTGTAAACAAAATCTTCTGCAATAAAACTTTCCAGTCGATACTGAGAGAAGTTTGTTTTTTTACATCAACGTGGAAGAACGTCACCCAGTCTATGCTGGCCAATTAAATTTGATCTTTTTCCCTTCTCCATACACAAAGGCTGAACGATCATCTTCAAGTACTGATAAAATATTTTTACGTATGACTGTACCACCAAGTTTCTAAGATGACTAATACAAGTTATCGTTTATTAGCCGAAAATATGACATCGGTTAAAACGTTTAGCAACTGAATTCAGAAGGGAGGGCAGGGACACTGGCCAACCTGGATACAACATATTTTAGTTACTAGAACCTCATTCAGACCCTAAGAAAGTGTTATGTGATTTATGACCCGTAAAGATGCGGGTAGGACTTGGTTTTAGCCACTATGCTTATCAACAGAGGCGACTATGCAATGTCAGAGTGAATGCAACAGGCTGCTTCCGGCAGGGGCCCACAGATTGGTACCGTGCGAAAACTACACTTGACCATGGAGGTGTCAATGCAAGTCCTAGGGAGGGTCAGGCATTTCTCAGTGTCTGGAACTAGAGGACAAGAAAGTGGTAACCATAGAAATTACAGACGACAATTGATTTCCTGGAACCATGCTTATCGTGTGTTAGTTTGTTTCACATGGTATTCTGCAGTGAAATATATAGCCCTTTCTACATCTATAAGAATTCTCTGCTAAAATCAGAGTCGATTGTACAATTGTGACTGAAACATGAATATATATTTGTTTCAGTAGTATTACAGCTGTACGATGTTATTTGTAAACAAATCAAGCCTTAGACATACAACACTTAACCCATACAATGTATGGGAACAGCGAGCAATCACATTCGATTGCGTTGATCTTATGATTATTCGGCGTTAAACATGCAATCCGTTATAGAACAAACAAAGGTAAGAATGATATCATAAGCAACAGTCAACACGACACGGGGCTTGTGGGTAGCCTAGTGGTTAAAGCCTTCGTTCTTTACGCTGACGCCCGGGTTCGATTCCCCACATGTGCACAATGTATGAAACCCATTCCTTGTGTAACCCGCCGTAATATTGCTGGAGCATTCCTAAAGGCGGCGTAAAACCATACTCACTCACTCACTCACTCACACAATACGACGAGGTACACATTCGACCCTCCACTGACCCAGGTCACGGGATTCTTTAAGTCGTCCACACCATAATTATTAGTTTGCTTGGGCCGTAAAATGGTCACAAAACGCCCAACTAATATTGTAATTGATAAGTGGCGATCGCATTCACCCATGGTTAAAATATATGTTTGCTAAACACGATACATTATTTTTTTATATTTGTAAGACTTTAAAAAGAATAGTCTGTTAGTGCTCATTTATCATTTCTGCACATGTAGCACTGATGAGGCGTTAATAACCCTCGTCATGTGTCCCTCCGCTGATACCAGTGGCAGACTTATGCCGCTGAAGATGGCACTGTCCAAAATTTATAGATCCTTAATGTCCGTGTATGAACTGATATGTGCATTTGAGCAAAAACAATCCATTGCAAAATAAACTCACTTAGTCGACGTGAAGAAAACCCATCCGCGCAGAACCCGCTATAAACAACAATCAACACTAAAATTTACACTGATACCATCTTGCACGCAGTACAACACAATGGCCGACAGGAATGCAGCCTAATCAGATAAGACCCTCTCAAAAGAATACTCGAAGGCACTGGGTGGTCAGATATAAGCTGCCTGTTCTAATTCATTCCACATGTGAAAACCTTTGCACAATATTGAAGGACATTTAAATGTTGAATGAAATTTGAACCAATGACACCATGACCTACATGTATACACATAAAAATATGTAACGCAACACCTGTGATGTTTACTCCATATAGCCATTGATATTCCTATTATAATTATTTTTGTTAGTATGATTATTCTTACCTGATGCAGTTTAGAAATGATCGTGCTACGAATGGCAAGCATTACATGCAATACTAATAACGTTAAGGACCGTCCTTATTCTGATGGACCGCGAGTGACAGCCTGTTAGGGAGGATGCACCCGTTCTCAAAGTAGTTCATATCAAGTGGCGTGTTCAAAACAACGGAGCTTCTACATCGTCGTTTATCCAACAGAACGTTCCAAAATCGCCTAAAATCGGCCGGGAATAGCGGCAGGCGACCTATCAGACATCCGTTGTTATCTCCAGAGCACAAAGCATCACGACCATCTTTGTGTCAATCTCGACGTCACTTTAATTTGACGTGAAGGGGAAGGGTGCACAGGTCGGACGAAAGTCGGTTTCTTCTGTACACAACTATAATGGCCGACCTCGTAGTTGGGGAAACGCTGTATCTGTCCAACGGAATGTCTTGGAGCAAGTGCCGTTTGGCGGGGGTTCATTGATGGTGTAAGGGACTCTCACATTACTGTTAACTTGACCTTGTGAGGATCAGACAAAATCTGAATGGACAACGGCTCATCAATGACGTCACAAACAGGCCCGTTGTACCACATTTCGATGATCACCCTCTGAACGCAAGATCAGCCAAGGTACGATAATCCTGGGTCACATCGTCTTACGTTAAGAGACGGTAACAACTCGACCGTGCTGGCCGGGGAGTCTATATCTCAATCCCATAGAACATATGTGAGACATTATGGGTCGCACAATACGCCAGAGAGATCCTCCAGTGCAACATCTTGATGCACTGCAACAAGCCCATACTGGTCGTAAGTGGCAACTTACGGAATCTGGTGATCAGTCTCGCTGACTTAGTTCATGTGTGACATCTTATCTCAGTTGCTTAGATATATGCTCATGATGTCAATCACTGGATTGTCTGGTCCCGATTCAATCTCTTACAAACAGTCGACATACAGTTGGAATATTACAAGGTTAAACAGACAGACCAAGTAGCATGATCAAGGTTCATCATGGATTAGACCGCCTCCGTGGTGTAGTGGTTAGAGAGCGTCCGCCCGGAGAGCGGAAGGTCGCGGGTTCGATCCCCGACCGCGGCATACCAAAAGGCGTTAAAATATGGTACTTGTTGGTCCCTGCCTGGTGCTCGGCATTAATGCTCGGAGGACTGGTCGGCTCGGAGTCAGTATAATGTGTCTGAGTGGGGTATTCATGCTTCGCATGGTATCTCAGTGGGCTAGCACTATAATACCAGCTTCATTCTGGGCTAGTACACACATACACACGCATGCACGTCGTCATATGAGCGAAATATTCTCAAGCACGACGTTAAACCCAATTTCACCTCTCTTCATCATGGATTAGGCCAAGGTCCGTCAAGGAGATCAAAGATCATTTGCGGTGATAAAAAGTAGTTCACTATTCGCATTGACGGCTTCGTTTGTTCTCTACTTTTGCGATCCAGTAATCCCGCTGCACGACGGCGCTGACCAGACATTCCAGTGACTGATATAGGGAGCAACGATGCAATCACCATTCAACAAAATCACCTATCCTGACCACCCAATTCACTATGTTTCTAGTACAACCAGGATACAGTGCTTAAGGATTTCATAATGAGAGACATAGATTTGGGGGAAAATATAATTCTATAATATACGTTTTATTGTTTTTGTTTCCTTGTTTTGTAAGGCTTCGGGCATCAATATTCTTGAGGTGTGTAAAAGAATCGAGTGTGGACGAGAAATTCATCAGTAATTCATTCGGTAATTCTTCAGTGTAAACATTTCCTGTACGATGGCATGCATCAAACAAATCAGCTGGTTTTCCCACAGATTTTCGTTTGTCGTTTGGCATGCATCAACAGAATCACCTGTCCAAACCACGGGGGTTCCGCTATTCGCCTTTTACGACAGGCATGTGTTGTGCAAAATCAAATCTAAACCGGATCAAGTTTCTGTGAAGAAAAATCCTGTATGGGGTATTGTCAAAGGAGATGTTGCCAGATCAAACTTTTAGATTACGTGACGAAGAGGTTTTGGTTAAGGAATCCCTTAACAAAATCACGACTGAAACTTGGCAAAACTGTGTCAACAAGGTAGCTAACGTCATTGAACAAGGTTACTGGTCTCGGGATGGCTTACAACAGGCAACTGTGGCACCACTTGTCATCCCTTTCAGTCGTGACTATGACACTACGACAGACAAGGAACCGACAGGTCTCCCGGAATAGATTTTGAGATGTCCCCCGCCATGACTGGATTGCCGATCATGTATAGCAACTTGCTTGTATGATTATGAAGCAAATCATAGCTGTTTTCTTTTTGTGTGACAAATATTTGTTGTAGTTAAACGACAAGGCAGCGACATAAAAATGTTACAAAATGGTTAATTTACCCGTTTTGAAGCAGTAATCCCTGCGAGGGTTTCAGGATTGAGCGATTCCACTTGCTACCAATACCTGTCTTAAAAGGAGACGTAATGAATCATGCGGTCAGGCTCGTTGGCAGGGTTGAGTGTATGTCGTCATAACCCGAGGGTACACTCAGGATCTATTGAACAAATAATTTGATGCATTTTCTATATCAGAACTTCGAATACATGTATGAATTTTATAGAGTTCGCACAATTGTCGTCTCCTCTGGCGCTGAAATACCATGGGGCCGGGAACAGTCATTGCATAGCGTATCACTGAGTGAGTGAGTTGAAGTTAACGCCGCAGTATTGAAGTCATATGCATATCGCGGCGTTTCAGCCTAATGTCGCTTGAAATCCCGAAGTGGATTCGGATGTTGATCGGTTTAGTGTGTGAGTGAGTCAAATTTTAAGCCGCTTTTAGCAATTTTCCAGTAATATCACGGCAGGGACACCAGAAAAAGGCTTCACACATTGTACTCATGTGGGCAATCGAATCCGGGTGTTGGGCGTGGCGAGCGAACGCTTTAACCACTAGACCACCCTACCGCCCCGTCTACACAGCGTAAACAACAGACATTGTATTGACAAACCTACAAACATAATCAAGGCGTCCTGGGATTCAAAGCCACTGTGATGGGTTTGGAGGAGCCAAGATGACCTAACTCAGCACAGCGAATTGTAAGAGTGAGTGTGAGTAAGTTAGTTTTACGCCGTTTTTAGCAATATTCCAGCAATATCACGGAGGGGGACACCAGAAATGGCACAAGTAAGAGTATAAACCCATGAGTATATCTCGGTTCTCCAGATCAAAATTAAAGAAGCACCACCGCTTAATCAACACAAACTATAAAATAATCGAATACCGTACCAAAAATATGCGAACTATAATTTATTTCACTAACGACAGTAGAAGTTTGCATCAGTCTTTGATGATGAAGGAGAGAACAATGATACCACTGAATTCAGCTAGATACGGTCCAAATTTGAGTTTCTCCGCGTTCAGCTTTAAAGGTTACGAGAAGTCGGAAGAATATGAGTCAAAGAACTTTTGGTTGAGTATAACCTGGCACGCTGATTTAAGATAGAAGGAAAAGAAACTCGTATTCGTCCATGACGTATTGGTAATGGTCTGCATTTAAAGTGCACACACTGTAGCATCAGTATAGGAAACTCTAAGTGTTCCAAGGACAGCGGAGTATTTGAAAGAATTATTTAAAACATTAATTTTTGTTACAAAACAAGAGCTAAATGGTCAGCATTTCCCTCAATAACCATCCGTGGTTTGTGTGAACAGGATATAAAGTAGAAGTTAGGAGTTGTTAAACTTCCAACATCCAGTGATATGGTATGTTATCAGAACAAGTATTTCTTTTCAATATATATTTTTATATAATTGTAGCTTGGGCTTTGACTTGCTCAAGCAAGTTAAAACACAAAGTGATCAGTGCCCAGGTCGGGAGCGAAATGTCGGCAACGTCGGCTAGTTAAACTGACTTTCTGAATGTGCCATGTAGGCACATAAGTATTTCATTTCATGGATTTATGTGGTTTTATTCTGAGGAATGTGATGGAACAGGAACAATTGTTTATCCAAAGTAAGACTTTTAACCATATCAAATGATATTTGTTTTGCACATTTCTACAAATGTATAGACTGCCAGTATTATAGCTATTATAAATTGTTGTGTGATCTCTCCACTCGTAACAGGTGGCCAAGCTACAAATTGATAACTATTGTTGTGAGTGTAGTTTTACGCCGCCTATTAAAATATCCCAGCAATGTCACGGCGGGGGACTCCAGAAATGGGCTTCACTTATTGTGCCACATTTGGAATCGAACTCTGGTATTAGGCGTGACGAGCAAACGCTTTAAGTACAAGGTTACCCTTGCTTTGTAATTAAATAATGAAAACTCAGCTGACAAATGTCTTGGTCTGGTTTTGGGGCGGTGGGGTAGCCTAGTGGTTAAAGATTTCGTTCGTCACGCCGAAGACCCGGGTTCGATTCCCAACATGGATACAATGTGTGAAGTCCATTGTTGGTGTCCCCCGCCGTGATATTGCTGGGATATTGCTGAGATAACCGGCGTAAAACCATACTCACTCACTCACTCACTTGGTCTGGTTTATGTAAATGAATAGCAATTTGTCCGTCTTAATAATGTGACGTCATGTATCGAGCATTTGAAAAATGTAGCAAAATAAGTAAGCATATAGGCGGATGCATAGAATGTGTATATGTGCATTATATCAGAAGCAAGTATTTCAGTTCTGGTTCAGAAGCTTGGATACGCTGTAATGTGAGTGTGAGTGTGGTAATGTGAGTGTATGGTAATGTAAGTGTGAGTGTGAGTGTGTTGTGAACTGAGTGTGTGTGTGTGTGTGTGTGTGTGTGTGTGTGTGTGTGTGTGTGTGTGTGTGTGTGTGTGTGTGTGTGTGTGTGTGTGTGTGTGTGTGTGTGTGTGTGTGTGTGTGTGTGTGTGTGTGTGTGTGTGTGTGTGTGTGTGTGTGAAACATCTAACATCTGTCTACTTTCTAAATGGCATTGTGTTCGGTTATGATGAGCAAAAGCTTTAGTTCATTACAACCGTGGATCGCTATACGAATGTCGGCTAATATATACAGCACATGGAGGGGGATAAAGAACATACTTCGTTATATCCGACAGATTCTTATAAATGTGTTCATTTAAACATGGTTTACTGTTAAAGTGTTCCAATATGTTGATATGAAACCCTGACAGTTCTTCTCAATATGTGAACCTACTTAAATATACGGCCAAGTTCCACCTAGAAACCCATTTTCCTTACAAACCTAAACAACTATGGAAGAACGTCTCGCCACCCAATAAAATCGTTGACCTCTTGAACCAGATATCTACCGATAGTGACCATCGAGAGGTTCCCATGTGTCAAGTGTTGCAGACCAACGAGGGGGTCCACAAGTTAAGTGCTAATGACTGAGTGGTTTGTTCGCCTGACCGAAATACCTGAATACCTGACAGTACGTACAGTGAATTCCATTGCAAGGCCAGCGAAAACCCTATGTCCTTATTGATCTCACACACTCACTCATACATACCGCGTTCTGTGACGGTGTTCAAGAGTCTTGTCACGGTTTGTTACCAAATGTCACGCTTCACTACCCCCGTTATGTGGTCGGCGTGACTCATCGCCGCTTTTGTATACAGGAATAATTACACTAACGGAGGAATGCAAGGACAAGTACTCGCTGCGGCAAGAATAACAATGAGAACGAAGACCTTAGAGTTTACAAAAGCCCTTTCCCCTTTGGTGGCCAAGCTACAAATTAATAACTAATTTTGTGAGTGTGGTTTTACGCCGCCTTTTGAAATATCCCAGCAATATCACGGCGGGGTTCACCAGAAATGGGCTTCACTTATTGTACTACGTTTGGAATCGAACTCGGGTATAAGGCGAACGCTTTAAGTGAAAGGTTACCCTTGTTTTGTAATTAAATAGTGAAAACTGATATATCCAAAATATATGTACCGGCTATTATATTGTGATAAATAGGTCTTTAATGATTTTTGGGGGTGGGGTAGCCTAGTTGTAAAAGCGTTCGTTCGTCACGTAATGTGAGTGTGAGTGAGTGAGTAAGTGAGTGTGAGTAATGTGGTAATGTGATTGTGTGGTAATGTGATTGTGTGTGTGTGGTAATGTGGGTGTGTATGGTAATGTGAGTGTGTGGTAATGTGAGTGTGTGGTAATGTGAGTGTGAGGTAATGTGAGTGTGAGTGTGTGGTAATGTGGGTGTGTGGTAATGTGAGTGTGAGTGTGTTGTAATGTGAGTGTGAGGTAATGTGAGTGTCAGGTAATGTATGTGTATGGTAATGTGAGTGTGAGTGTGTTGTAATGTGAGTGTGTGGTAATGTGAGTGTAAGTGTGTCTTAATGTGAGTGTGTGGTAATGTGAGTGTGTTGTAATGTGAGTGTGAGTGTGTTGTAATGTGAGTGTGTGGTAATGTGAGTGTGTTGTAATGTGAGTGTGAGTGTGTTGTAATGTGAGTGTATGGTAATGTGAGGGTGAGTGTGTGGTAATGTGAGTGTGCTGTAATGTGAGTGTAAGTGTGTCGTAATGTGAGTATGTGGTAATGTGGGTGTGTATCTTAATGTGAGTATGTGGTAATGTGAGTGTGTGGTAATGTAAGCTTGTAGTACTGTGACTGTGTGGTAATGTGAGTGTCAGTGTGTCGTAATGTGAGTGTGTATGGTAATGTGAGTATGTGGTAATGTGAGTGTATATGGTAATGTGAGTATGTGGTAATGTGAGTGTGAGTGTGTGGTAATGTGAGTGTGTGGTAATGTGAGTGTCAGTGTGTCGTATTGTGAGTGTGTGGTAATGTGAGTGTGTGGTAATGTGAGTGTGTATGGTAATGTGAGTATTTGGTAATGTGAGTGTGTGGTAATGTGAGTGTGTGGTAATGTGAGTGTCAGTGTGTCGTAATGTGAGTGTGTATGGTAATGTGAGTATGTGGTAATGTGAGTGTGTGGTAGTGTGAGTGTCAGTGTGCCGTAATGTGAGTGTGTATGGTAATGTGAGTATGTGGTAATGTGAGTGTGTATGGTAATGTGAGTATGTGGTAATGTGAGTGTGTGGTAATATGAGTGTGGGAATTTGAATGTCAGTGTGTCGTAATGTGATTGTGTATGGTAATGTGAGTATGTGGTAATGTGAGTGTGTATGGTAATGTGAGTATGTGGTAATGTGAGTGTGTGGTAATGTGAGTATGTGGTAATGTGAGTGTGTATGGTAATGTGAGTATGTGGTAATGTGAGTGTGTGGTAATGTGAGTATGTATGGTAATGTGAGTATGTGGTAATGTGAGTGTGTGGTAGTGTGAGTATGTGTGTGTTTGGTAATGTGTGTTTGTGGTAATGTGACTGTGAGTGTGTGTTTGTATATTAGTTTCTATGTTTGTTCTGTAACACCACGCTCAGCGACATTCCAGTTATATGGCGGCGGTCTGTAAATATTAGAGTCTGGGCCAGACAATCCAGTGATTGACACCATGAGCATCGACCAACGTAACTCAGATTCAATAGCGAGCATCAACCAAGGCAGCGAGCCTGAGCACTGGTGATGCCGTCGCTTTACTACAAGCGTGATCAGTTCTAACCCGGAGTGTGTGTGTGTGTTCGTGGATGCGTGCGTGTGTGTGTTTTTACTTGTATTAGATTGAAAATAGTACTAGCCAACTCAGATCCCATGCCACGGTTCAACTCGTTTTGCCGACAAAGACAGTTATATTGACCCGTCCATGTTCCATCCATATACATGACAAAATAGTTCCAGTGAGTGCTGCAAATGAGGCCTAACGACAGTGGACTATGGTATTCTCATACATTCAATTTTAAGAATCAGTTATCTTGGTAAAATGTCATACAAAAGATACTATCTCCCTAAGGTTACATTTACCAGTGAGGGCGGTGGGAAAGCCTAGTGGTTAAAGAGTTCGCTCGTCACGTCCAAGACCCGGGTTCGATTCCCCACACGGGCACAATGCGTGAAGCCCAGTTCGGGTGTCCCCTGACATCATATTACTGGCATGTTGTTCCTAAAAGTGCCGTAAAACTAAACTCAATCACTCACTCGTTCACCAGTGAGTTCTTACAACATGGTAACCTCGATGGTGTCATATACCGCGTCCACTCCCAACGTACGTGACAATCAGTTCACGTACAACCGTATATTTTGTATCCAAAACAACCAGAGAGTACCAAGGTACAACCACATTAACCGACATC